GAAGGCGCTCCAGCGGGCCTTCCGCGGCGGCAAAACCTTTAGCCTCATCCTTTCGGCCACGGGCAGGCGTGTGGGGGCAGGGTGGGGGGCACGCTCTAAACCACATTTGGGGGGTTGCCCAACTAGAAATGGTGACCCCTCCCCCTCTGAAAAAAAGGCAGCCGGGTGGACTCTTTTTACGTGTTAAACAATTGAACCCCAAAAAGGTTTCGCCTTACATGCATTTGCTTTCAGGCTCGTTTTGCGCCAGTGGGCTACTGGAGGATGCCGGTTGTTGCTCAAAACCGGGACCCTTGATCTTCACACACGCACGGCTGAACCGCGTGGCCACTATGTCACAATCTTTAAACCATGCAGAGGTGCCCGCCCCAGTCCAGCCAAAGAATAGTTGCTTCCGTGTTGTGGTATCATCAGACTGGGTTTTTCACACCCGTGCTGTGTAAACACAATTGGATTCTGTGTGAGACTGGTTGCTTCCGAGCCGCGTTCCTCGTGCCCGGCAGGGTGGAGAAAACTTTGACCTCGGAGTCCTCCGAAGCGAGGACCTGCTGCTGCAAGGGAACAACACCTCGGCGGTTTCGGTTTTCTCTTGGTAGCCCTTGAAAATCAGACAAAAGGGTACCCTAAACGAGACACCCATTTTCACTACAACCCCAATGAAGTTTCAAGTCGAAGGCCTTTTAGCATTTGCATCAAGAGCTCCTTGCCGTTGTTCGAGGCAAGTCACTATCAGGGGTCTGTCCTTTGCAAATCCTTTTGGTGATGGTATGCATGGATAAATCCGCATTGATATCTCCCTTCATCATTCTTTGCATTTTGTTTCTTCCTCAGTTGAGTTTCCAATTTTTCTGTTGGTTAAGTGGAATCTGGGGAATCGACCCTGAATTATTTACCGTGGGTAGTCGGCCCCGATTGATTTATTGAACATTGTTATATCAAAAAGCACAACGTTGCGGCGATCCTTCATGGCATCTTCCCTTACTGCTGGCTTACCGATGCGATCGGCGCTGATGCAGTAGCATTGTGGAGGAATGCCGCCGTGAACGATGCGAAGCTGGAAATCGCAAAGGAGTATGAGAAGGCCTGCGTTGCCCGGCGTTACCCTGCAGTTGGTTTGCTTGGAGACGCTACGCTTTCTGGAAATCCTTTGGCTTGCCGTGTTGCATTTTGTGATGATAGGCGAAGCGAGTTCCTACGCTCTCGTTGGTTGCTTAACTTAAAAGGGGGGCAGGCCCTGAGACCGTCCGCCCTGTGGTGCTTCAGCACTTGAGCAGCCTGGTGTCCATGTACCCGGCCTCTTTTCACTTGCCGGACCCTTTTTGAGGGCAACCTTTTCGGGGTTCCGGGAAACCAAACGGACCCCCTTCTTTTTGGGGTGTTCCCGGGTTCCCTTCCGGTTCCTCGAGCCCCAAGACCGCAGGTGGTGCTGCGTGAGGGCGGCGAGGGCAAGGGGAAGCCCAAAGCTCCGGCCCGGAGTACCTCGGAGGAGGCGGGGGATGCAGACCGACAGTTCAAAGGAAGCCTTGCTTTGCCATTCTCTTGAGAGAAGGCTGCCTATAGGGTCTATACTTCCCGTAAAAAAGGCAACACCATTTGAGCCAATTTGAAGTGACACTCCTTTTGGAGTGTAGGGGGGTGGGACGTGATACAATCAACCACAAAAAACAAGAGTGCCAGCTTGTTTTTCTCATGGCCACTGTCACTGTTTGTTTGGATTGCGGAGAAGTTGAGTTTGGGTGTGTCAAAACGGGGGGGGGGGGGGGCAACAATTTGTGATACGCTTTGGGTGGCCGAATTCGGAGGAGGCAACAAATTGGGTGCGTGTTCTTGCAAAGGCTCCGGTGGTGGTCGTGTTGTTGTTGTTGTTGTGGTGGTGGTTGTGGTGGTGGCGGTGGTGGTGGTCGTGTTGTGGTGGTGGTGGTGGTCTTCTTGTGCTGGTGGTGGTCGTGTTTCAAGACAACATTCTTTTTTGTTTTAACGCTCCGCCCCTCCCCCCCCCCTAGGGCGGTCTGTCACGGTGGGCCATTTTTGATACTACTGGCTTCCGTTCCGTCCTAGGCACGCAACAGAACGGAAGCGCCAAACATGACATGACACCCCTTCCGCTTCCTTCGACCGTACAGGAGATGGTCAGTTGCGAGCGGAGCGCGCACGTCATGGCGCGCAAGCCGCCCGTCCACATGCCCCCAAAGTGGTTGCAGTTGAAGGGTTCTCAAAATTGCTACTGACTGGGTGATAAAACTACAACATGTGTTAGGGGTTTTCACACCTAAGCCACATCCGCAGCCAAATTTGCCCTGCTAGCCCATGTGAAGCAAAAGTAACCTTTGATTTGATCTATACAAGTCTTTCCCCACCCGACATGAAGGGGTTGTCGGATTTTACGTTGGAATCCGCGTTTGCGATGCTTCTACACCACGCCCCCACCCAGTATCCCGCCAGAGCAGCTCGCCAGCGGATCCCGCCGAGTATCCCGCCAGAGCAGCTCGCCAGCGGATCCCGCCAGGTATCCCGCCAGAGCTGCTCGCCAGTGGATCCCGCCCAGTATCCCGCCAGAGCAGCTGGCCAGTGGATCCCCGCCGAGAATCCCGCCAGAGTGGCTTGGTATTGGATCCGGCATCCCGCCAGAGCGGCTCGCCAGTGGATCCCGCCGAGCATCCCACCAGAGCAGCTCGCGAGTGAGTCCCTCTGAGTATCCCACCAGAGCAGTTCGGCTGAGTATCCCTTGCCGGTGGATCCTGCCGAGTATGCGGTGAGTATCGAGCCGGAGCGGTTCGCCAGCATTCGCCAGTGGATCCCGCCAGTATCCCGCCGGAGCAGCTCGCCAGTCTGGTTTTTCTTAATGTCCCGCCCGGCGCACAGTTGGGTTTACATTTCATGTTGGTGCCTTCGTGTTTTGACTGTACCCTGAGGCTCGGAAAGGCTGATGCTTTTGTGTTGCTTTGGGTTGTGAATTGGCAACTTCGCTTAATTTTTTGTGGGGTTTCTTTTTGGAGGGGCTTGGCTTTTGTTAGCGGAACCGATGTTTTTCTCGAGATCGGCTCGCAGACAAGTGGAGTTTGACACACAGACAGGTGGATAAGGCTCTCAATGCAAAGCTTGTTGAAGCCGATGGGAATTTGGAGTCGAAGTCTCTAGGATGCGGAGGAATTTGTTGTAACGGTCGTAAGCTCGTGAGTGTGGAGGGTGGGGATTGCTCAAAGCGAGGCAATTTCTCCGGAGTTTTGTTGCGCTTGCGGGGTTTCAACATCACTAACCTCTAATCTGACGTCACTTGCATGGGCGCCTGAAGGACTATCCCGGACCCACGCCAACAGGACACAAAAAGGGGGGGTGCTTACCCTCCCCCACCAATTTTGGAAGCTGATAATAAGAGGGTTTTGGAAGGCCGCTTTCTTTTGGTTGAGCCCTCCTGCCCACATCCCTGATGGCTGGGAAGAAGGTACTGAAACCCCTGCTGCCTTACACAGAGAATTGGCAGAGATCGGATGAGGCAGATGGGAGAAACGGAACGCGCTTAGCAAACACGATCTCCATGAGGAGCTGTGCCTTTTGCTTCTTCCCCCTTTATACTACTATGGAAGGGAGCCGTTCCGGAGCTGCGGGCATCCAAATTCTTCTCTCAAGAGAACGCCAAGGAGCTACTAGGAGTTTATAAGGACATGATCGACGTTTGATCACTGGGCCGTTGTGTTTCCCCCTTTGCCCTTCGCATATGCCAAGGAGCCCCTAAGCCAACTCCTTGAGGATATGACAGGCAGCCAGAGGATCCCCCCTTGCATTCGCCCCCATTAGAAATTGGAGGATGAACCAGGTCCCTTCAACGGGAAAAATCGAGCAACATCACCCAACCATTTGATTTAGAGGATCCCGTTGAGCAGGTGGCGTTGGAGATACCCTCTTTCCAACAACCGTGGAAGTGGACAAAGGGCTTCCCCAAAACGAAAGTAGTCTTCCAAAGCCATTCTGTCAGATGTTTGTTGGATGGATGTTATCCTTTCACTTCCCTGTATTTGCTTAACACTATTTTTGATGCTCCCCTGTTAGTTTTCAAAGGGAATATATCACCACTGGTCATATTTTCGTTTGTCCCAGCTGGCATTTGCCAAAGGATCGACCCGACCGAGCTGGCAGCGGGCTCCAGGCCTCTCTCGTCTGATGTTTTCAGCTTCCTGCTTGCTGCTGCAGCTGGGTTGATGCGTTTCGGGGGGTCAACAGGAGCCAACCCTGTTGGCTCCTGGTTCAATTTAACTTGGGATTAAGCAACATTTGGTTCGGGGTTGCGGTGGGGGGAGGGGGGGTTGGGGAGGGGCGGCATTCGTTTTCCCAACAAATGCGGACAAGTGCACAGAGGAAGGGCTTGGTTTTCCCAAAGAGGTCAGCGACCCAAGCCATGTTTGTTGATGAGAGGGTTCTTGATGATGTCAACAGGATGGAGTCAAGCCATATTGAGCCTTTCTCCCAGAACTGTGACACATTAGGCAGGCCAAGCAGCAAAGAGGGAGCACGTGCAAATCGTCCTTTGTCTTTTGGCTCCAGCCGCGCCAGGCTTTAAGATTTAAGACTCTGTGACTTTGGTTCAGCTTGGTGTTTATACGCTTGGCTCAGAGCTCTTTCTCTTCAAATCTTGCTGCTCAAGAGCACTTACACACTCATGTATAGGTATGAGGACCTAAACACACATGGTCATGGATATGTATATATTTACGTGTGTATATATATATATATATATGTATATATATATATATATAAATGTGAATATACATGTGCATGTATATGACTAGCTATGTTTTCCACACATTTAGATCAAATGCAGATGGACCTGCAAACAAAAATGAGCAACCACATTCAAATGTGCATGTAGCCTTTCTTTACGCACGCACATACACACACAGACACATGTATATATATATATACTTTGCTCAAGCAACCCATTTCAGGAGCCAAGCATTCAGCAGTTGGGCTTTGAACTCACCAAGCGCCCCGCGCGTGCGCTCGACATGCCGCCCCCGCCGCCCGAGCTGACGCTGCAGGAGGTGCTTGATTTGCAGGTGAGCCCCGGCGAGCCGAACGCCTACCTGAAAGTCACTTTTGGCACTTGCCGAGGAGCCTCCCAATGAGAAAGGCCTTCCATTGGTTTCAAAGAAGTTCCCACCTCGCTTTTTGGTGGTGGTGGTTTGCGGGGTATTGCTTTTGGTTGGCCGGGCCCAGATGGATCTCTGTGAAGGGTAGTTGTTCATGGGACTTAGATGGTTATGAATTCCAATGGGAAACACACCTCAAACATGTACTGAAGACCATGTCCACCAAAATACTGGGATCTCCTTGTTTTTTACTTTGGATTTTCGATTGCTGGGGGGGTTCCTTTTGTAAAACAGTTTCAAAAGGAGTGCCCTCCAAAAACACATGCGCGCACCATCATCTTCCTGCTTGATTCGGATCTTGATCGGCCTCAGCCAGGCCAACCGAATAGTTTAAAACCACCCTACTCCAAGGACCTACTTTTCTTGGGGTATGATCTTAACGCCTGACTGAAACTGAGGTGTTTAGCATGGACACCTTTGCTTTCAAACGGTCATTGCCCAGTTTATTGATATTCTTCAGGCACCCCCCCTGGATAGGCACGCACTTTTGCAAGCCTAGAAGTCAAAGCAGTGGGCTTTGTCACGTATCCGATGCGTCGTTGGCTCACTCGCGGGATTTCAAGTTTCCAACTCACCAGTGTGCTGCCTGATGTTCTTAGCAAACAGAACATATTCAAGTTACAGAATATTGTTTTTCGTACCAGCGCGGATTTGCCTGCAGGCTGAACTTTACGACGGGTTCTCAGACCCAGACTTCCAAGAGGCGAGTGAACATCGGCGGCTCTGTTGCGGGGCTGGGGCCGCCAGGCCAATCCCATTAAACGGATAGGGAGGGGTTTGTGCCGCTTCAGAAAATGGAGCATACTTGTAGAACCTGTTTCTTAGAGCTATGGCGTGGGTCCCCTCGTGCGCGCGTGGCAGGCCGTTGCTCTCTCCCGCTAATCTTCCTCGTGGGCACCCCAGCTAGTAAGCGGGCTAAGGCATGCCAAGATAGCCAGGGTCATCATCGACCATCTAGCCGGTCAGCCCTTTTTGTTTACCCTATGTTTTGAGGGGAAGGGCAGGGACATCACCAAGCGCAAAAATAGCCTGAAGTCCGACCACTTCCACCTTGTGTGCACAAATAACCGCGTAGGGTAAATCCTGTGCTGGCAACTTACTCAGGCGCCCGGAGGCCTGGGAAGACTACTTTCCTTCAAGGGGCCTTTCCATGTTGGTGGTTGGGAGGGTAGCTGGTCAACAGCCCTGGTTGATAAGTCCCCCAAAGTAGGCTTTGCAATCTAGCTAAGCTCATTTGGCCAGTAACCATCATCATCATCCAAGCTTAACCTTGGTCAGTTCAACTGTTGTAAATGACTTTTGTTGGCCTGGCCGTGGGATGTTATAGGACAAGGACCTTTCGAAGAGGACACTATCCTATATGGGCCTGCACACCAAGCCATGTTTGTGAGAGTGTGCCGACTGAGATGGCCCACCCCCATAGCACCACTAGGCCCAAGTAGGATTCGATTTGCAACCGAACCAAGCAGCACCAGCTGAAAGTAGATGCCACCCTATATATTTGGTCGGCAGCCATCCATTCCCCTTTGCAGGAATTGTGCCATCTACCTTCACGCCGGCGTAGCCTATTAGTAGCCATATGTGATGTACACGCACATTTGTATTCTGATGATTTCGGTTTTTCTCCTTGTTGGGGATGTGTCGACGAAACGGGGGCCAAGCGTATGGCGGTTTTCTCGCAAGCACTGTACCTGGGGCGGGGGCAACGTTTGGGATGCATTTTTGCCCTTGAGTTCGTCAGGCGCTGGCCGAGCTGGAGGCAATCCATGGGAAGGCCTACAAGAACTACACGGAGGACCCATTCCGAAAATGGGAAGTTCGGGCCCGAGAAATCAACGACTCGGCTCAAGTGAAAGTGAATCCACCAGTCACCTGCAAGGGTTGTTTGCCACAGGACCACACCAAACTCTTCCTGACCGTGCAGAACAAGGCGAGAGAGCGAGAGAGAGAGAGAGAGAGACTAACCATCCAGACATGGCCAGGAAACCTCACAATTCGGTTGCACAGCCGAGTCAACGGGCTTGAATTGCCATGGAGGAAGCCTCTTTTGCCAGTTTTTGGCGTTGGTGCGCTTTTTTGCCTTTAGAAGCTGTTCAACTCACAGCAAAACTACGCTTATTTGTGGCATTCGAGCTTAGAGGAGTCAGCTCACGTTGTCGTGGGTTGGCGAATGGATATGTCCACTGCTCATCACCGACTGGTTCTTTCCGTCGTGTGAGGTGCTGCCCCGGTATGGGTTCAAGAAGGGCCAGGTGGGGGTCATGCAGATGCTCTCGGTGGGCGCCCGCTTCAACGACAACGAGGAGTTTTGCAACAACAGAGCTGTTCTCAATGTGCCTTGGCAAGACCAAGGGGCTCCTGAAGCCATGCCTGCGCCCTGGGTGAGGCTCAAAGTCAGGGGGGGGGCTTTGCAGGGATCAGTTCCACGTGTTTTTCCTGGTGCCCACTACCCTGGACCGAAGCTATCCGAAGTTGTTGCCCCCTTGACGGGATCCAGGGACTGCTTGGAGCATTCGGCAGGGGACCCCCTATACCGCCTATACCCCAGAGATATGTTCAGAGCTTTTGGAGAACCTTGTTGCAGAAGGTTCTTTCAGAAATCATTCCTGCGGGTAGGGGCCTTTCCATTGTGACAGAGTCATGCTTTCATAGGAAAACTCAACCTTGTCTCACAGCCACAAGAGTTTGATTGAAAAAAGATGGTTTCGGCTCTTTCAGCTGGGTTCTGCTCATTTTCCACTGAAACATGTATTTTTTTGCCAACAGCTCCCTTTTGCCAGCGCCTTTTTTCAGACAAAGGCGACCCACAGCTGGTTGAGCAAGGCGGCCGTTCTGTTGCGTCGCTTTCCGAGGAGCTCATCGGAATGGCCCCCGCCCTTGCGGATGAATTGGAAGAGCTTGCGCCCAAGAAGGACTAAGAAATTCGGAGTGTCTTTGTCGGCTTTTTCCTCGCATTCCTTTGCAATCTTTGGGTTTCGCCAAGGGAGCTCTGGAGTGAGGGGGGAGGTTTTGGCGCCCTTTTCTCATGTGACATGTGGCTGTGTCTTGTTTTTTTGGTACCTTCTTTCTGCCACGAGCGGGTCCGGCAAGACGGGCCTGGGGCGAACATGTGCGGAGGGTAAGCTCACAGGAACAAGGGACTAGCGATGTGAAGCGTTTAAGATAGTTCAATCAGAAAAGTGTCAAGTGGGGTACGTCCTCCGGGACTTTAGTTCGGCAATCGGGTCCTCCTGACTAAAAAAGCATCGGCACCGCTCAGAAGCGCGATCTACCCCAGGAGAAGAGGGAGGAGCCAGCCCCCCTCATCACCGAGCATCTTCGCCTTGCGCCGACCTTGACCACCGCCTCCAGGCGGGAAAGAATGGTTTGGGGGGGGGTTAGGCGAAGACGTGGCCAGTTGCAGAGGCGCAAAAGGAGCAGCAAAATCTCAGAACAGCACGCGCGAAAAACGATGAACGGGGCTCATGATGCTATACGCGCCTTGGTACTTTTTAATATTCTGCAAGAATGGGCCTGGCATACTCTGGGACCTCTTTTGATCAAATTGAAGGGCCACTAGAAAGATTCATGCATTTTGTTTTTGCGTCTCAAAGGCTGAGTCACAAAACACCCTTTATTTGTGGTTGGCATGGTCATGAACTCAATTATGCACTGAAATGTGAAATTGGGGGCTCAATCACGATTGCGTCCTTTTGTGGAAGCAGGGTTGCTCCGAATCTCTAAGACGATGACCAATTGTTTCTCCTGTAGCACCCCTTCACCTGAACCAGGGTTGCAACACATGTCCTCCTTTTGATGTTTTTGTTGCCCTTGCGCGGCTGCATGTGACCGGCGGTTCCTTCAAGAACCGCAACCACAGCCATGGAGCCCAGGCAGTGGCAGCCACCCTCGCAGGAGGCGAAGCCTGGGATCGCGGCATCCAACCCCCCAGCTTCCCCAAAGGCCTTGGGACATGGAATCCGGTGATGGGATTCCGTACGTCGAGAGCCGGGTGATCGTGATTGGGGATGTGCAATTCTTCCAAGGGATAGATTGTGAGATATTTCAATACTCTTTCCCCTTCGAAGGGCTCACGGCTTTGAACAACAAATTCCTCCGGGCTCGTGCTTTGTTGGCTTCTTTGGCACCTGGGCGCTCTGAGATGGTGCCGATGGCACGTCTATCGGCCCAAGACAGGCGCCATCCAATCCATCCAATCAGCAAAACACGTCGGTCCCATGCCAAACCTCGAATGGTTGGGCTTTGGACAGGCGCTAGCCATTTGCCGCACCATCCTTTAAAAGTCCAAAGCAATCGCACTGGGCCGTTCAAGCCTTGCACTTCCTAGCAGGGGTACAGATTTGGGGAGCCACCGTTTTGAACAAACCAAAAAACCATCCAAAAAGAGGTCCAGCTACTTCAACAGCACTTCCAGCTGACTTTTCTCAGCCATCCTGGGCTTAGGAGTCGCGGCGTTTCCAGTTGGCAGATGACCTACCGGCAGCCGAGGGTATGTGATCCGTCGAGGCCGGGCTGAAGTAGCAGCTGCAGAAGGGCGCGTAAACCCAGGCGCACAAGGAAGGAACAAAGTCTCCAAGGCTCTTTTTTGCAATCTCCAAAGTTAGGGATGCTTTATAGACAGTACTTGAGCACCCTAGCATTGACAATCGAGGCAAAAGTGGGCCAGGGGATGCCCATATGCTCCCAAAGCCAGCCAGCTTGGCCACACTGCCAACCTCCTTTCTCTTCTTTGGGGGTGGGGGGCTGGGGGACCTTGACACTCAGTGCCGTTACAACCAAAGGAGTCCGAGGCCCGATATTGAGAGGCCGTGCGGATTACTGTACTCGCATTGCAGACTCATTCCATCTTGAGACAATCCCAGAAGGAGTTCAGCTTGGGACCAAGCTTGTTCTACCAGGCCAATCCGTTTTTTTAGCGTATGGTAGAGAGGGCCATGCAACGGCGATTGGGATATGAGGACTGCTGTCTTAGCTGGCCTGCCATTCCAGGGAAGAAGAACAAAACAAAAAAACCTACTGGTGGAATTCTCTTGGTATCCCGTTAAAACCAGAAAAAATGGCACCCTCAAAAAGACGGGCCCATATGGTTTCCGTCAATTTGAAAACTGGCCCCAAGCAGGCTTGGGGGCTCATATGAACGGCCGGAGCAAAAACAGAAAATGATGGAACCGGAATCGGATGACCAAAGCAAAAAGTACACCATTCGCATGAAGACTATGGCGTCTGTACCATTGCACCTTGGTGCCCGAAAGCATTGCGAAGGGTTCTTCCGGTAAAATCGCCAGCCTTCTCACACATGCGCAGCCAAACTTGCACGAGCCAACTTGAGCCAGCCTTATCGCACAGCCAAACTTACACGAGCCAACTTGCACGAGCCAACTTGCACGAGCCATGTCGACACGAAATTCTTCCAGTAAAATCACCAGCCTTATCACACAGCCAAACTTGCACGAGCCAACTTGCACGAGCCAACTTGCACGAGATATCACACAGCCAAGCTTGCACGAGACCTGTCGACACGAAAGTAATTAGTTAGTTTCTTAAGGCGGCGTGGTGGGACCGAACCCACTCTGCAAGAAAATGACGCCCTCTGCGAGGGTTGGCTTGATCAATGTGCAAAAACAGGACTTTTCACGACGCGCGCGACCCTCTGCTGGGATCGTGCGTGTTGCTGTGGCGCCGTGCCTTTGGAAGTTGTCTCGTGTTTTGCGCCGGTCGCGGGTTCGATTCCCCCCTGGTCCGCGGTAGCTCAGGCCCAAGAACTTGCTCGGAGAACTTGCTCATGGACCCAAGCTTGCGCAGCACACTTTGTGCGTAGCGCTTGCCTATCGCAACTTGCACAGAGCACTTGCGCACGCAGAGCAAGTTGCGCAGAAGACTTGGGCCGAGCACTCGCGCAGAGCAACCCTAGCAGAGAGCTCGCAACACCGAAGCTTATCACTCACAGAAGGGCAAACTTTGCAGATTTCCGCGCTAGCACACTCTCGCACGCACGCGCGCAAGTGCACAGAGCTCGGAACACCGAAGCTTATCAGTCACAAAAGGGGCAAACTTTCTGCAGATATTTGCGCTAGCACACACGCTCTCACGCGCAAGTGTGACACACACACACACACACATGTCGGCTTTACTTGCTGTGACTTGCTGTGGCAAGAGTTGAGGCATGCGGCAGCTGAGTGTTGCAGACACAGACACAGACACAGACACAGACACACACACAGACACAGACACACAGACACACAGACACACAGACACACAGACACACACACAGACACACAGACGCACAGACGCACAGACGCACAGACGCGCAGACGCGCAGACGCACAGACGCGCAGACGCGCAGACGCACAGACGCACAGACGCACAGACGCGCGCGCGCACGCGCGCACGCGCGCACGCACGCACGCACGCACTCACGCACTCACGCACTCACACACTCACGCACTCACGCACTCACGCACTCACGCAACACCAGCTCTTGAGCAACCACTCCACTGGCAACCCTGCATGTTGGCTTGATTTGCTGGTCTTTGATTCGTTTCCTGTATGCTTTCGGGGGATACGTGGTTCTTTTTTTTCTTTCTTTTTTTGGGAGGGGGGGGGCCGAAAAAGATAGCACTTGCGCACCTCGTGGCGTTCGCCTCAGGAGATCTGAGGCAGCGTGGCCATCTCGCGAAGAAAACGAGCGGCTGTGAGTGGAAGTGCGGAAGGGCGACCTATTTTTCTCTTCCGCTGGTTTTGAACGGAATCCACCACTACTGGAAATATATTATTTTTTGGGTTCAGGGCACGAAAGCAAATGGAGGATACCCATTCATTTCTCGAGGAATCTCGTTTTGGGGTTCCCCTTGTTGGGTTCTATGTGACGATGCCAGCAGAGCAAATCGTTGCCTTCCACTAGCACACACCCATTTGAGGTCCGGCAAAACAACTAAGCATGGGGACCAAGCAAGTTTTCCGACAACAAGACGGGGCGCCGGTCAAGCTTTCCCGTAGGGGAAGCGCATGGGTTTGCTCCGACGGTGACCTACCCGGGTACATTCAGAAGGTCTTGTGTACTGAGTCGCAACGCCCAGTACATCTCAGCAGGTTGCTTGCGCCGCGTTTTCCCGCCCAGTCGGACTGCTTCCCGAAGGCCACCGCGGGTCTTTTGATCATTCTCCCTTCAACCTACCATATGGGTATGACGGTATGCGTCAACATGGAGGGACCTCCCCCTTCAAGCTGTGGTTTTCCTTTAAACCACCCTCCAAAGTTTCCGAAGGCTAATTACCCCCGAAGAAAAACACTCCGAAATGGGACCCCTTACAATGGCCGACCATCCCCACGAACTCAGGCAAGAGAGAGAGAGAGAGAGTCGACAATGGCTCACATGGTACCCCTCCATTGCTTTCCTTGTGGATCTCTTGGCTTAAGGACTCCACCAAAACCACACCCAAAGGTGACTTTGCTGAAGTATTGGGGCCCCCGACCAGGCTGGAGAGAGGCATCGAGCATCCCATTCAGGAAGAAGGCGCGGGAACGGAACATTTTGCCTTTGTGGAGGACGGCCGCGTCTTTTTTTTGAGGGTGCTTTCTTTTTGGGGCTGGCTTCAAGGGACATTGCGCGACCTGGTATCAAAACAGGGGGATATCAAACATGCGTGGCTGTTTGTCCTCGTTTTGGGTTGCCACTTCAAGATGAAAAGGGTACTCTCAAAACAAAGATATCTGCCCGTTTGATTCTGCCAGTGGCTCCGGGTAGGCAATTGGTATACCAGGTTTGATTATGACTCATGTGTGACCCTATGTTGTTCTTTGACGAGTGTTTTTCTTCGGTCGGGGCAACGCGTACCCCCTACGCAGTATTGAAGTAGCTATTTCACACTTGTCCCACAAAAGGCAGAAGAAGCCTGGGTGCGTAGAGCAATCCGATGTTTGATAGCCCTAGCTACTCTGATCCCCGCATTCAGATTCAGGGACCCTGTAAGGCAGGTTGGGGGAGTGAAAGAAGGGCCCCTTTATCTCCCTTTCAGATTCGGGCTCATGATTTGCTATTCACCTTGGTGTTTTGTGACAATCCAGCGCCCCGAATTCTATCAAAGGTTCTGGAAAAGCTGGCTATCAACTATTTTATCAAGCCCTTTAGGCCTTAGGGTCTTATCCAGGATCCCCCATGACCTTCCTTGCGGATTGAACGCTTGGAGCTTGATTGGTGGCTTTTTTGGCGCGCGCAGGGGAAGATGGCCTTGACAAGGTGACGCTGTCGCTGTGAGGTTTCACACACTCTTCACAAGCAAAGGCTTGTTTGGAGGGACTGGCGAATAGAAGGTCACCTACCATGACCTGGGACCAATTCTTAGAACCGAGTCTTGCACATGAAATCGCGACAAAAGGGGGCTTTCGTCAGGGTTCCCCGTATTGCCCTTTTGGTGGTTTCAAGCGTCACCTTTTCTCTTCGGTTCCCTTCGAAGTGAGCTTCTAAGGGTCATGTTTCTAGGCGAAAGGGACCGGTAGGGACCGTGAAGGCTCCAACCTCCCTTTAGCGCTGCCTGTGAACCAGGACTGAGAGTCTCAGTTGGAGCGTCGCCTCAATGACGGCGGAGCGGGCCTTTCCCGGCATCCATGGCTCTACCCCCTGATCTAAGGGTTGGTGCCCCCGTTGGATCCTTGTGCCTCCTTTTGAGGGGAGATGCAAGTTGCGGAGTTTTATCCGTCAAAGGCAGCTGGATGAGATTGCGAGGCTCCAGTTGCATTGTAAATCCACTTGGTTTGGGCAGTCTGACATTTTAGGCAAACCCGTTTGCCTGTGCCAAGCAAGCCCTCTCAGGTTGAAGAGGTGGCTTGAGAAGGGAACATTTTTGGGCAAGGTCGCTGGCTACTCACCCAGCCCGCAGTTGCGTTGCCAGAATTTGTCCGCCCCTGTACATGGATCACCGGCGAGTAGGTCATATCTGAGGACTCTGAATGGGGTCTAGCTAGATTCAATCTCGCACATGGGACACAGTGTTTGAGCAGCCTCTGTTTGCCCATTGAGCCCATGTGCGAAGTGTGGACACGTATTTTTGGCACCCGCCCCAAATTGGGCCGGGGTCCAAAGGAGCTTGGAAAAGATATGTTTGAGATGCTTGAGTGAACGGATGAAGGGACAACATGGGAGGTCAGTCGTTGAACCAACATGAGGTTTCATGCCTGTCAGTTTTTTAGGACATGTAGATGCTCTTTTGGGGTTGTTTAAAACTAGCGGCAAAGGGTCAAGGGCATTTGCAGGTACGGGTTTTGGAGGTCTGAATGCTTAGATGCCGGCAACTGAAGCTTGCAACGCTGTATGTGCCCCTTATGTAAGCGGCATATGACCTCCATAGCTCCAAAACCCATACCGCCAGCTCTTGAAATGTTTTGCCCCCCCCAGTTCAAGACACACCTATTCGGACTATTCGTATGTCGATCGGTTGCTCCTTCTTCGGCTTTGCCCCAGGAAGGCAAGCGTGCATCCTTTAGCTGGGTTGCATTTTGAGGGGTTTCATGTTTTTGCGGGGTTTCGTGCACGCCACCATTCAGAGGAAGGGTTAACGTTAAAATGTCGGTTTGGATCCGGGTCAGGCAGCTTCTCTTGTTTCCTTTTTTTTTTTTTGGGGGGGGGGGTCCATCCAAATGCGTATTTCTTTTTCGGTTGGGCCTCCAAATTGGCACAGGTCAGGCAGCCTTTAGTTGGCGGCTTGGATTGGTGCTGGGGGGTTTGAACCCCTTGTTCTTGTAGCTAGTGCGTGAAGTCCATGGATATTGTTTTGTTTTTTGCCCCCCCCCCCCCCCGCCCAAAAGGGTTGCTTTCACAGGCAGCTAACACAAACCATCCATTTCAGAGGTTCCCCTTTGACCAATCAATTTGGTTTTATTTGTTCATCTATCTATGTATCTATCCATCCATCTATCTATCTGTCTATCTATCTATCTATCTGTCTGTCTATCCATCTATCCTATCCTATTCTATTCTATTCTATCCTATCCTATCCTATCCCATCCCATCCATCCATCCATCCATCCATCTTATCTTATCTTATCCTATCCTATCCTATCCTATCCTATCCTATCTATCGATCTATCTAATCTAATCTAATCTAATCTAATCTAATCTATCTATCTATCTATCTATCTATCTATCTATCCTGAAGTATGGCATCGGCCACCATTCACCTGACCTCACTCATGTCACCCACACGCCTAGGGACTGGCCCAACCATCGCTTTCTACGTGGTGCTCGCACGGCGTGGTCCTCAGTCCTCACATCCCAGTCGTTCCGTTGTTTGGTGGGTTTTCCTCTAGAAATGGATTCAACGCCGCAAAAGGGGGTGCCTGTGCTTGTCGGGACAACAGCCCACCGAGACATGCTTGGGGCGGAGATTTCCGTTTCCGGTAAGCCCTTGTCTCTTTGATGGGGATAGTGCTGAATGCTAAACAGCCCAGAGTCTTCAGGTGCCGACGCTTGAGATGCAGTCTGAACGGCCTGTGACTGGAGGCCGGGATGCGACGGGAGCGCAGTGTAGTGCGAAATGGCAGAACCCTTTGGTTCAAGCGTTTGCTCATTGGAGGTGACAACATAATATTGGCTTTTTGTGTGTGGAATGTTCAATTCCACCGTATCGCCACTTGTTTGATTGACACGACCCTTGCCACAAATTGCATCATTTTTTGTGGGTGGGGGCCGGCCTAAATTGCGTATCTAGAATGAAGGTTGCGGCCACTGCATGGACAGGCTCTACAAGCAGATGGTGCAATGGCCATGAACTAATTTACACAGCTAGCAACCACCAGTGCTGCAAGAAGCATGTGGTCTACGCTGGTGGTCGGGGAACAGTTAGGCTGTAGTTTTGCAGCGGTTCAATCCACTTGGGTCCCTTACTTCCTTTAAATTTAGTTGACGCACTGAAGCACGTGGGCAACAACAGCAAGAAGTCGGAAAACAGGAAAGCCGCGTCTGACATACACATTTACCTAGTCTTGCAACGAAAAGCGTGGTGAGGCAAATCGCAAACTCATTGTCCGCCCTCAACCTGAGCGGGGCAAATGTAATGTGTGGTGTAGCCTAGTGCCTCCCTTCAGGATAAGGTTTCCTTTGTACATTTAGGCGGGGGAACAATCATGTCCCATTTTATGGTCATTCGTTCGGGCGCCAGATCAGCTCATCATGAACGACTTAGGTTCTTCACTCGAGGATTCAGGCTTTTCTCTCTCGCAGATTGGCCCGGGCCCAGGAAATTACATCTGCTTTGGGGGCAATTCCTTTTCGGGACGCCCTTTTCGGATTTCATGCTTGTCTGGGGAGTATGTAACAAGGGTGCCCTTTGCCCTTAATTACTTGCAGTTTCGAGCACCCATAGTCCACACCGACGCGAACGCTTGTACTGTTTTATTTGCCGTCTCCGTTTCGTGGTGGCTGGAACCAAATTCAAAGCAGCTTTTCAAACCCTGGGATTTGAAGTCTTGCAGGGCGCACTTGTCACCTGGTTGCTGCACAATTTACAGATCCGGCGCTTTGAGGGCCCGGCCCGTTGATTGAGCTCCTCTACCTCATCGGCGAGAAAGATGCCCAGAACGAGGCCTGTGGCTTGGTTTGGCTGGGAGGGGAGTAAGCCGAGCAGCACCCAAAACCGGAAAAAAAGAAAAACACAACCAAAAAACGGTTTGTGTTTGAGGGTTGGTCCTTTCAAAGGCTGGTATACAGGGAAACCAACAGCAAAACCGCAATTTTGAGGGATTTGTTTATTTTGACACATTTGAGTACAGTAGGTGGTCCTGCTCCCTAAGTATTGCCTGATTCAATGGGAGGTTTACTGAAGGCTATTTCTTGAATTAGCCTTTCCAAATGATGCCGCCGGAAGAGCCACAAGTCAATGGCTTTGGGGCGCCGCTCACGTGGCAAGCTTGCAGGGGACCCGTCTCTAGACACCTTCTTTGAACGATCATGGAAGTGCACAGGAGGGGACAGAAGCGGAGCTAGTAGCACCCTAGTGGAAGTATCCCCTTTTTTAAGGTATGGAGGATCTATCAAACAAGGCGGTCGCAGCTGGAGGTTGTGCTTCTGATTTTGCTAGTGCGCTTGTTGGGAGGTTGCATGCGCAAACGCCAAAGAAATGCTCCCTGTCCAAAAGGGACATCACTGCAGTCAGGAAGGCAGGCGACGCAAGCGTGCCATGCTAAGTGCTATTTTTCATGGCCAGGTCAAACCCCAGATTGATCAACCTGGTGGATTATTAGGAAAAGGGCCCAATGCCTCCCTTGGAAGTTAACATGGCACCGACAAAAAGAAAGGGTCCCCAAAGGAGGGGAATACTAGGTGATATTGGGCTCCCGACATGCCAGGCCAAAGTCCTGCTGAGGGAACCCAGGCGTGGCTTATGGGGGAGGCGTGCAAGCAAGCAAACAAACAAACTTGGCAGTTGTCAGTCACCTCCGCCCTTCTCATCCGAATATTTACGGTTTCACTTTGGACTTTCATGCCACCAAGACCAGCTTCGTTCTCTGTTCTCCGCAACCCCGACGGTCCGACGGTCCCAATTTGTCCCTTGGCGATTTGGGTCGTCACTGGTTCGGGCCATGTGAAGTGGCTTCCCCTGGGTCCCCCGTCCGTCGTCGTGCCCGCTTCCCAACTTGGCGCCGGGCCAGGCCTTTGAGGTTTGACAAATCGCTTGTCCCAGGCATACGACGAGCTGGAAAAACTTCAATCGAACGGACAACCGGCACGCAGCCATCCGAGAGCCGGGAGATAAGGGCGTGTTTTCTGGCTGAGGGTGCCCTTTTCTGGTTGGCTGGAGGGAATCCGCAAAAATGAAAAAACGAAAGAAGCACCCACCATGTTGGGGACACCCCCCCTTTTGAACAAGTAGCAAGTTTAGAAGGTGGTCGTACCCGATGTCGTGGGAGTTTTTACTTCGGCAAGCAGTGGCCTCAGCGCGGCAATGGCGGGCCATGGCGCTGGCTCTTGCGCTGAGTTTGGTTGTGGCTTCGGGGACGATCTGCAAAGACCCGAGGGAAGGGCTATGGAGGGAGCGCGTTTTTTTTTTTGCAGATATGGTTTGGGTAACCCTTACGTGGTTTGGATTCAAATGTGAACCCCCCACATTCAAACCACCGATTCGAGGGAAGCTGAATGGTCAGCTGGCACTTTAGCTCTTTGCTGTTCCCAAGAATGTGAGAATGCCAGGCACTAGCAAGTTTATTCCTTCTTCCCGTTGCCTTGAGAGGAAGATGTCGGGGATAACGAAACCTGTGTGCTACGGGACAACCTCGCCGTGGTGCCGCCGTCGGACGGGGTCTACAGCTTCGATGGAGCCATCGTGGTGCCGGCAGGCGGCTCGCCATTTCTGGCCTTCGCGCGTCTGACCAAAACGGTGGCCCCAAAAAGTAGATTCCCCTAGGAACCGGCGGTTGTATGCTTGTAGCTGCCGCAGTAAATTGCAGGGTATTGATATTCAAGCACAACGCCCTCACAAGTGGTTAGTGGACATGAATTCCCAGGTGAATGCTCTCGCCCAGCGGTGAAAATCCATGCCCAAATGTTTTTGGTCAGGACGTTTGCTGCTCAGGGGCGTCACGCAGGGGGGAATCACGCAGGGGGGAATTCTGCTGGTCTCACATTCCTTTCTCATAACAATACAAGCGACAAGGAATGCAGTGCATAGCACCGTTTGCGTTGAACCTAAGTGACTGGTCACTGACCTGACTTTCACAAAGGGACATCGTTTAAGGACCATCAGGCTTGGGCAGGCGGTATTTGCCCTCGGGATTTACATGGTGGGTTCACCAACATGTACAGGTAAAGCCCCTCCGTTGAGTCACCGAGGCCAACACCAGCGCTTCAGCGGGCCAGTGGCTTTCAGGCGGATCGGATGATGTCTTAGAACACCCGAGTCGACTTGTATTTCAAAGTCGGCCAGCTGAACATCTTGTCTTGAGGGCACCCTGGGCCGCGAATTGCAGAAGCCCAGCGAGCATTTTGAAGAAAGGCTGGCCTCACATGGGAGAAAATCGGGGTGGGCCACCCCCTCTTCGACATGTGTGAAGCCATAACTATGTCAACCACCTTGACTTGAACACGGGACTCATGTGTTTCGGAAGCGACGTTGGCGGCCAGTGGTTGCGTGCAACCAACATTTTTTTGTTTGGGGGGGGGGGGGGCGGAACTGGAAGGAGGCTATCAAAGCAGTTCTTTCGACCGGTGTTTAACCAACCTCCATTTGTTTTGGAGCCACATGGTCAACCGTGTTCCCTGAAGCCATGTATCGGGCTCGGTTCTAGCCATCTTCTGATCCCCAAGTCCTAGCCCCCAGGTCGGTGCCAAATCGCCAAAAAGGAGAGCCCTTCTCATTTCAGAAATGGTTTTTCTTGCCCTTTGCAGGTCAGACTCTCGACTTTTAAACTCTCCCAAAACGCAAACGGGTTCCAAGAATCATGGGAGTGGACCGGCAGCTTCCGGACAGATTTCAATTCCATAACCTCCTGTATCATTTAATTGTCTCTTGGGTTTCTATCTCTTGGCTCGGTGCTCAGTTTGCCCCTCCGGCTCGGAGCCGGGAAGCGCCTGGCACAAGGGAACCCTCTGTTGCTGTTGGGGAGCAAACCTGCGTGACTCAGCCCCCAGACTTTTGTGCGGAGGCGGGTTTGGCCTTCGCCGCGTCTCACCGGACAGGAGCTCCAGCCTGGTGCTGGAGCCGGGCAGCGCCATGGTGGGCAACAGCCGCTTGAAGTTCCTGGCGGCCTCCGTACGCCTGAAACTTGGCCGGATCGAAAGCAGCTCCTTCCTGGACTGTTTGGCCTTAAGGCCGAAGTGGGGTCAGCTCAAAATGTGAATGGCCCTCAGAATTGGTGAAATCTTGGTTTGCTTCTCTTTAAAACCACCACTGAAGAAACGCGCCGCGAAACAAGCCGCTACGATCACCTTGCGACTGTCGAGTCAGCTCGGGTTTGTGATCCGGACTCTAGTTGGAAGCCGCTAAAGCACATCTGCCATGTGAAAAGGATATTCGTAAGGGGTTGTACTTACTTCCCTGGAAGTGCTTGCACGTTGTTTGCAAAGTTACTTTTGGGGTGGTTCCTTTGGGGGGGGGGGGATCCTTTCGCTTCACCATTCAGAGGGTATTTTTTGAAGGGTGTCACTATGCGCGTCGTTGGCGATGGCCACAATTCGCTAGCCGGACATTTGGCTTTGTTGTTCATCCGGGGCTCACGCCAGCAAGGAATTGACCTCCGCGCGGCAAAAAATCCCAGTGGATATAGGGCATCATGCAGCGAACAAAATAGTGGACGTGGGGCTTGAAACATCGGAGAGAAGTGTGTTTCACTGACCGGTTTGAGGAAAACTCGGGGCCATGGACCCCCTTAAAGGGACGCTGCCGGCCGGTCTGTCATTTGACAGCTCGGGGTTGCTTACAGTTGAGGCTCCAGGCCGCTGCGATCGAGTTGGCCGCTGTTTGCCTCACCACTCGGCTGGGTAATTTTCCTCTTGGCCCCCCCCCCCCGCAAACCCCCCCCCCTTTTTTTCCCTCTCCCGCATGTAGAGACCATAGCAAGGGATCTATTGTTGGCTGTAAGTCCACCCGGGGCCAGTTTTTTTTTTTTTTTGACAATCCACATTGCCTGTCGCTTTTAGTTTTTTGCTTCTGAGCTAGTTGACTTGCGGAAAGACTCCCAGGACCCAAGCCTCTTTGAGGGCCAAGGACTTGGTCTTCGCGCACTCCACGTGCGAAAGCATGAGCTTCCTGCAGAGCGAGCTAGAGGCGTGGAGGTCGAAATCCCAGAGAATCCGTCCCGAAATTAATGAGTGAGCTTTGGGCGTCTTAGCGGAGTTGGGAGGGAGTGGTGCTTGGAATTTCAGGTGTGTGCTTTAATGTATGTAATTGTATATGCCGATCTAGAGACATATGTATATTATCTTTGCGGTGTTGTGGGAAGGGAGAGTTCATTGATAGCACGGATCGGTCGCTTGTTCGGTTTGTAAAAGGGCCCGGCCTGGGGATGATCGACCGCACATATGAAAGCGCTTGGGCAAAGTTTTCCAAGCCCGAAGGGGAACACCCGGGGTAGAAAGACAGCATTTGAGCACTGGACATGCCAGCGACATGGCTAATTTTGCAGTGATCTTCAGCACTTGACGTGCTTGCTATGGGCTTGAGAAACAACAAGCTTCTCCTGTCAGAGTGCTTGAGAGAGGCTGTATACCTTTTGGCCATCAACACTCTCTGGGCACGTGTTTTGCACCTCTTGTGGGGGGCCAACGGCCAACCCAGTTTTGGGGTGCTTTTCGCAGTACCAACTCTCTCCTGTTCAGCTTCATCATTTGTTTTTGTTGCTCCAGTTTGTTGCAAGTGGGAATGGGAGGCACGTGAAACAAGCAGCAGGCAAGGGGGGGTAAGGTTGATTCCGACTGAGGCTCTAGACAAATGAGAGCCCACACGGGGAAGCCGCAAAGGATGTCCTGGGGTCAATATGTTCGGTGGTCTATGGTCCATTTGGGAGGGACAAGGAACAAATGCGAGAATTTCTGACCGTGGCGGTTCGGCAGGCGAGCCGCAAGGTGAGCGTGACTTGCGTGGGCGGGAATGTGAGCTTGTTCGATGCAAACTTCACGGCGCGGTGGCGCAAGGAGCAGGGCTCGTTGCTTTTTCTGGGATGGAAAGAGCTTTAAAAATCAGACCCTTGGCACAGTTGCACTGGTTTGCATTTTTCATGAGAAGACTTGGTGACGCACGTATGGTTGGGATGGTTCCTTACTAACCTTCACTTACAAGAATCATTTTTGATGCTGGCTCACCTGAAGCGGGCTCCGGTGCCGGTTTATTGTTGGGTTGCGGCCAGGGTGAAGCCCTTGTTTGAGCCGTGGTTCAAATCACGTCTTGACTGTACCCGGTTTCCACTATTCTTGTTTAACCTCTTGGGCTTTCCTGGTTAAACCCCCCTTTTTCTTTTGGCTTCCATGGCCGCTTGTGGTGGTAAACTCCCACCCTCTTTTTCTGGGCGGGGCAAACCGGCTACAAATGGACATGAGTTTCAACGGGGGGCCCCGCCTCAAAAAGTGGTTAGTTGACATGAATCTCCACCTGAATGATGTCCACAAAAGGGTCCCGTATTTAAAAGAAACAAATCCACATGGGTCCGAAACGGCTGGCGCCAAATGCACCCCTTGATATCTGCATGTGTCCTTTTTAAGGTTCTCCTTTTGGGACAGTTTGAAGGGGAAGCCAGGGGGAAAACCACCTTTTTCATTGCGTCAGCATGGGGGACGCGCAAAATCTTCGGCCCAGTTGAACCGGTTGAACCAGGTACCCCAGCAATCAGTTGAGGTCAACCGGTTCAATGGTTCTGCCTGTCAACTGGTTCAAGTGGTACCTGACATTTACCGACCCCCAATGCCGACCTCACCTTTCTCGGGGCCTCAAGATTGTGAGCTTTCAGGACGCTCTCAGCCTGAAGGTGCTGAGCGAGACCTTCTTCGCGAAGGCGGGGGTCGTGGATTTGCAAGTGCCGAATTCCTGGGGAAAGAGGCGGGTGTGTATCAAAATGGGGGAGGAATCCCGAACGATTGGCCCCCTCACGGGTTTCCCTTGAACATGTTCGGACATCCGCGCTTGGGTTTGGGACTCGTTGGTGGGCATCGTTCAGGTAGTAATTCACGTCCAGCAACCACACTTGAGCTGGCTCCCTCTTGAGATTCGTGGTCGTATGGGAGGTAGTTATGTGCACAGCGGTCCTGAATATCATTTTCTGTTGTTTTTTTTGCGGTCTTTTTCGCTCGTTGCTTTTCCCACTCTTGGCCCAAGGTTTGTCTCCCTTAAAAGCCTTGGATACGTTGGGGACAAACCCGTCTGACATCAGGAAGCATGTTTTTCCCCAAACAGTTTATTGTGAGGGGTTCTAAATTCATTTAAAGTGACTCGCCTATTGCCACACCATAGCCTTAGCCTGGATGCCTGGCACGGCTCTCTGGGTGGACGGGTTCATTTGTCTCCCTGGGTTTGTCTCCCTTTGTCTCCCTACATCTTGTGTCCCGTTGTCTCCCAAGGCACGGCTCTCTGGGCGGACAGGTTCATTTGTCTCTGCTGGTGGTTGCCTGGCACGACAGGTTCATTTGTCTCCCTTTCTCTCCCTTCATTTGTCTCTTGTTGTCTCTCTGGAAGCCTGGCACGGCTTTGTGAGTGGACGGATTCATTTGTCTCCCTTTGTCTCCCTTTATTTGGCCCCGGTTGGTTGCAGCCTGGATTCCTGGCACGGCTCTCTGGGTGGACGGATTCATTTGTTTCCAACTGTTCTCTCAGCTTGGACGGGTTCAATAGTGTCTCCTTCTTGTTGTCTCCCAGCCTGGATGGACGGATTCATTTGTCTCCCTTTGTCTCCCTTTATTTGTCCCCGGCTGTCACGGATTCATGTTCTGTCTGAGCGCGCGCATGCGCTTGATCGAGCCACAGTGCACGCATGAGTGCTTCAAGTGAATGATTGTGTGGTCTTGGTGTGTTCCAGCTGACCACATTGGCGCGTTCCAAGTGGGCATTTTTTTTTTTTTGGGGGGGGGCATGTGACCGCATGAGTGTGTTCCACGTGAGCACATGTTTGTGTTCCAGGTGAAAGCATGCGATTGTTCTGATAAAACACATGTGCGATCCGGTCAAAATTCTTAGTAAGGGAGCTTAGTCTACAGAGGCGGCCGTCGCAGTCACTTTGTGCAGTTTTTCATTCATACAAAGCGGAGTCCTGCAAATACCAATGGATTGCCCGCTCCCCACTGAGGCGCTAGGATGGCGCTTGATTTGCGCTAGGGTCTTCGGTGATCTTGGTCTCCAAGAGTTGGCGCGTGGGCGATGGGCTTTGTGTGGCATTCAAGGGTGTAATGTTGCAGTTCTTACTTAGTACTTGAAGCCAGCCCGCACGTTTACCTTCATCTGACGTGGCCTTATTTTGTCAAATTTGCTGGACAAACGGGAGACAAAACGGCTGCAGGGATGCCTTGTACCGAGCGTTCTATCGAGCGACAGATTGCTCGAAAGAAGCGCAATGCGCCGGAAAGCTTTTGCTAAGATGAAGCCTGTAAATGCTGGAGAGACACCCGATACTGATAGCATTGGCAGTAGTAGCAGCAGCAGCAGGCTCGCGCGCCAGCAACGTGTTGCAAAATTGCTGGATTGATCGCACACGAACACTATTTTCCTTTGTGTGTCGCGCAGGCGTGCAGAGAATGTGCGTGCTGCAAAATTGTGCTGCACGTGTTTCTCCACATGTGCACACATGTGTGTTCCATGTGTACGCATATGTGTGTTACAAGTCAGCACAGAAGTTTGTTCTGGTTTAAACATGTTTGTGTGATCCAGGTCTGCACCAGTCTCACTCACTCACTCACCTCACCTCACCTCACCTCACCTCACCTCACCTCACCTCACCTCACCTCACCTCACCTCACCTCACCTCACCTCACCTCACCTCACCTCACCTCACCTCACCTCACCTCACCTCACCTCACTTCACCTCACCTCACCTCACCTCACCTCACCTCACTCACTCACTCACTCACTCTCACACTCACTCACTCGCTCACTCTCACACTCTCACACTCTCACACTCTCACACTCTCACACTCTCACACCCTCACACTCTCACACTCTCACACTCTCACACTCTGACACTCTCACACTCTCACACTCTCACACTCTCTCACACTCTCACACTCACACTCACACTCACACTCACTCACCCACTCACTCACTTACACACACTCTCACACTCACACTCACACTCACACTCACACTCACACTCACACTCACACTCACACACTCACACACACACACACGCGTGTTCGTCTGATAACAAACATGTCTTCCTGGAACACAGACACGGTGTCCAGTTGGAACGCACATGTGTGCACATGTGAACACACAAGTGCCTACACGTGGAACACGCTTATGCGTACACGTTCATCTGTTAACAAACATGTGTTCTCCTGGAACACACACGTGTCCAGTTGGAACGCACATGTGTTCCAAATGTGTACACGTGGAACACGCATAGGTGCACACGTGAACACACATATGTGTACACGTGGAACACACATATGTGTACACGCAAGCACATATGCGCACACGCGTGTTCGTCTGATAACAACACATGTGCTCCTGGAGCACACACACACACACATGCGTACACCTGGAACACATATGTGTGTATGTCTGGAAAGGACATCTGTTTTTTTTCTCACACTTTTTTTTGCACCAGCACGAGTCGAGCCTCCCGAAACCCTGCTTAAGGGGGTCCCCCAGGCACCAGGGGCACTCACGCTGTTTTTTTGGAGGCCAGCGTCCTCACCTGCTCAGGCGGCTTGCAAGGGGCGGGGGCGCTGCAAGGAGCTCGTACACACATATGTGTGTTCCACGTGTACGCACATGTGTGTTCCACTTGGAGACGTGTTTGTGTTCCAGGTGGACGGATGTGTGTTCCACGTGAACACATTACTATGTGCTAGGTGAACATTTTTTGCATCTGACGACATATTTGCTCTCCAGATATACACATGTATGTGCTCCGGAAAACGCATGATTGTTTTCGAGGTGCGCGCGCGCGTGTGTGTGTGTGTGTGTGCGCGCGCTTTAGGTGAGCATTTATGCTTGCTCACGCGTGCACATATGTGTGTTCCACGTGTGCACACATGTGTGCTTTAATCGCACATGCGGTGTTCCTGGACACATATTTGTGTTCCAGTGGTGTACACATGTGTGTCCCACATGTACGCACATGTGTGTTATAATTGCACGTGTGCACACATGTGTGTCTGAATTGCACGCGTTGTGTTGCTGCACGTGTGTTAATGGCGTGGGCTTCAGCACCGCGCAGGAACTGGTGGGGCAAGCGCGTGCGATAGCGGGCAAACGCGCGCGTGTGAACGCAAGTGTGGCTGCGCAAGCGTGCGGTCACATGGGCAGTTCAGACACACATGTCCAATTCAGACGCACACATATACATTCAACTGCGGCACAGGCATACATGTGTCGAGCTGGAAAGCCAACGGGTGCTTCTTGTAAAGCACACACACACATGTGTACACCTGGAACACACATATGTGTTCACCTACGACACGCTAATGTGTTCACGTGGAACACACATGTGTTCACTTGGAACGCAATGAAATGCGTGTCCAACCGGGTTCACGACTGCATCATTTTGATTCATCCGTGTTGAAGCACAGAAAGCCACAAGCTGTTGGCATGTTTGTGCTTGCCCGTCAGTCCTCAACTGTTTGGGGCCTCTGCTGGTGTAATTTCTGGGTCCGCATTTGGAGGAACGCCCTTCTACATGGACAACATGTTTTTGCATGCAACAGTTGGAGACAAATCCCCTCAATGTGGGAAGCTGTTTTTTGGACCCTCTTTAGGGCCTCTGCAAACACTTTTTGCTTTGGGCCCTCATATGCAAACACAACGACTACTCTGAATGCTTTGTTGCGGACCCAATACTAAAAGAGACGCCTTCTGAATGAGGACCGTGTTTTGAGATTCAAATTTGGGGAGACGCCCTTTTAATACAGAAATGTCTTTTGGATCCAACTTGGGTTCACCCGTTCTAAATGGGCAAAACGCTGTCCAGCACGCCATTGTGTGAAGGTTGCCCATATCTATATAGGTTTTGCGTGGCTTCGAGCGAGGGGGGCTCTCCCACAAAAAACTGGTCACCAAGAGGTGATAGCTAGTTTTTTGTGTTTTGCCCAGACCTCCAATAGTTGGTAGTTTTTGCAATTTGAACAAAAACCATCCTCTCAGTGGTTTGGATTTGTGTGTTGAAGGCCGGGGCTGCCCGTTTACCCTCAAGAACCAGGGCCAAAAACGCCCCACTCTCCAAACGTCGAGGGTTTCAGCCGCTCTTGCTCCCAGGGCCATACACGGCTGATGGCTCGCAGCATCCAGGTGGTCACCTGGGAGCCGGGGGTTTGAAGCGGATGTCCTCAGTTCCTGTGGGGGTGGTTGTGTTCGGAGGCACTCTTTGGGTTAAACGGGGGCTGTTTTTTTTCTTCTTCTGCTCCTTCTCCCCGAAAGCATCGCGAAGGGTACTTGCGGAGCCCCTGGTTTCATTTTATTTTGGTTGCTCCGTCGACACCATTTGGGACCTTTGTTGGACCTGCGTCTTCTGTTTGAGGACCCGGAGCTGATGCAACTGGAGAAGGGTCACGGCCTCGTGAGAAAAAGGGATTTTCGGCTTCTTTTCGGGGCAGGCGCGGTACTTTTGGCAAGTCTTCGCGGGTCTCGCCCGCGCATAGTACGCTCGCGCCCAGGCAGAATGCGCGAGCCTCTCACGCGCATGCAGTTAAACATGCGAGTCTCGCATGCGCATGCAAGCCTCTCATCCATGCTTAATGTCCTGCAGGGTGGTCTGGTGCAGGGCAAGTGTAAGGCTCAAGGAAGGGTTCCCTGAACAAAGCACCTGCAGTTTCATTTCGCGGACCGATGAAGATGGCATTGGGGACCCTGAGCCGGTCGGAGGAGAACCTGGTATTGGCGGCGGAGGTGCAGCAAATGAGCGTCTTGGACCTGAACAGCTACGGGCCCATGAGCTTGGGCTGGCAGGCGGGGCTTTTCGGATGTTAGGAGCTCGATTTTGCACCTTGGAAAGACTTGGGCGCCCAAACGTCAAAACTTTGCGCCCGATTTGCTCCATTAAATTTTAGCCTTACCAAAGGTGTGTGTGTGTGTTTTGGGGTGGTGGCGGCGCAATTGAGTTTCCAAGAAAAGGGCCCTTCATCGTTGGTAAACCAAAATGGCACCGGGGACCTTTAGATCTCCAGGTGGCGATCTGGTGGCAACTTCGCATGGGCGGCAAAAAAAGAGAAACCATTTTGGCAGCCGAGGGACAGCAACAAGCTGTCAAGCAAACAAGTTCCAGGGCCTTCAAAAGGGAAGCCTTGCGGAAGACAACGCGTTTGGCAGGATTTTGTCCATTCACTTTCGCGGATTTGTGCTGGTCTACAAAAGGGGGAACCTCTAACCCGGTTTAGGTTTTTCCTGGCTTACTCGTGACCCCAGGGTGGGTTCTGGACGGTGCGGTCCATGTGGGTCCGCGGGATGCGGGTGGACCTGGCCCGGGACCACCGCGTGGAGGCGCTCGGCCAGGCTTCCTGCAGCCCGGTGGTGACGGAGGCGCGAAGCGACCGGCGTAAGAGCAGGTCTTTTGCCGCCGACTCGAACTTTGAGCTTCTCCTGAAGTTCTTCGAATAGGGTGTGCGACCAAAAACAAAGTAACATGAAAATGCCCGGTAAAGGCTCTGGGAGGGGAGTTGGCGCTAGTGAAGAACATCTTCTTCAACGCTGATTCAAGATGGAGCCTCCCTTCAGCTTTGAGGTTGAGTCGAATCGCACGGTCAACCAAGGTCAATGCATGGATCTAGAGCCAGAGTGGGTTTCGTGGTTTGGGGAATTGAGAGGTAGTTACCGCGGTTTCCCCTTTGCCTGTTTCCGGATGGGAAGCGCCATTTTCCGTGGGCATGGGAGGGTTGGGACTGTGAGGTCCATGACCTGTGCGAGAACACCGGGCGGCCCGTTCAGGCGCTGTTGCGGCATTTGCAACCGGACCTGTTCTTCGTGACCCAGGTCGGGCAGAGATGCGAATCATGTGGATATCCTTCTTCGAGGGTCGTCCAAAAGGAAAACCAACAACAGCCCCAGTTTCCGGAGTTTATCACGAAGGCTGGCTTGCTGGCCTTGCTGGCGTCCCTCTTGCTTCAGCAAGTTGCTGGGCCAGTGACTCCTATCATCCTTTATCTCAAAAGTTTGAGCGCTGTCCAGAAAACAGCTTTTCCAAACTGGCAGGTTTTCCTGACATGTTTCTGGTTCAGGATGCCCTTAGCACATTTAGAGCCAACCATCTCCCCCCGAGGCGCTGGTCATAGGCGCGCGCGCCCGGCTCCTGGGCTCTGCGGTGGTGCTGTGCTGCAACAACACGCTGCTGATGAGGAGCCCTGGCTTTGTCTTAAACCTTTACCCAGACGAAGAAGTCTTTTGTGTTCCTTTCACTTGTTTCCAGCAACCAGGGAAGCTGACAGGAGGGCTTTGAAAGAGAGCCCCTTGCAAAGGGTTTCCATGTTTGGCAGGAATCTTGTTTGTTGACGTTCTTTTGGGAAATAAGAGGCGCCCCTTCAGAGTGAACCCGTCTCTCATCTCGCTTCATTTTTGTTTTTCCGCAAATCCGAGGGATTAACAACATTTTCTTGATCAGCCGCAAAGTATTTTAAATCTGGATTCCTCGGTGCTGCGATTCCCGCTTTCTTTGGTGGTCCCTGGGTGCTTTGGTCCTCCTCCCAGCACCAAGAAAAGAAGCTATCCCCACCCGAAACCAGCCCTGAAGCTACCACCTTTGTTTTCTTGGTTGCCAATGGTGTTGTATATATAATAAACCCAGAAAGTCCAATGAAGGGCGGCAAACGAGTCCCGTCGCCAGGAAGTCTGCCAGCATCAACAGCGATGGCAGGGGCTGCCCGCCGGGCCAGGGAATCGGCGCAGGATTGGAGCCGGAAGCAAGCCCTTGCCTCGTGCGACGAAAACCTCTACGCCGCAATCACAACCTGCGTGGAAGGGTAGTCAGGGACAGACCCACGTTCTTTGCATGGTTTCGGGTAGACCGCTTCAGTACCAGGTTTTGACTGTGAGTCAGGTGCGGTTATCCAGAAAGTCAACCCATTTTGTTGGACCAGCTCAGGTGCAAAACGAGCGAAAACCAATGGTGAAAGGCCTGTACCTTTGAGTTCGGGGTTATGGCAAATTATGCAGAACATGCCATCGCCAGGGGTTGTTTAAACGCAATGGTCTTGTTGGCTACTGATTGGCCTTGCTGGCTTCCAACCAAGGGGCCTCGTGAAGGCGCATGCCTTGCGGAAATAACTTCTCCGCACCGACCCCACAGCCCCAAATCTGCTGGCCGCAGGAGAAACCCGAAGTTTGGGGAACGTGTGCGGCGGCGCTGGTGCCTCCAACTTGGGCACTGGTGGCTTCGGCGCGCTGCTCCGACGAATGGAGTGGGGGCTTCTCCCGTTTTTCCACAGGGCGAAATTCGTGTGGCCATTTGGGTGCTTCTCATGATGTTGTCCAACCTAAATCTACCCGAGGTACTCGTGCTGGGATAGGGGGTGGCTAAGTACTTGGACGGCGCGTAGACGGGTGTGGTGAGAATTCAGTGTTGACCTTTGCAAGACGCTCTGGTCCAAACAACCACTGTTTGCATGCTGCTTGGTGCAAGGGTTTGCGTTCACCCCAAGGACATCTACTAAGAACTGTATAATGCCAGCGCAAATGTTTATCGTCACGCTCACACGCATCCCCAATCACTGCACGTATGCCTGAAACCGCAACAACTCTCCAGAAAGGCGGCGCGCGCTGCCTGAAGCGAAAGTGGAAAGGTCTGCATTTTCAACAGCGGCTTTGAACTCCACTCGCTGGCCATTCCATGCTCTGCCTGAGAGTTGTGGTGAGAATGTGTGGAGATTCGATTTCGACGTGGGGAGCAGCTGTGTTTGACGCAGAGCCAGTGGAATTTCAAGCTTGAAGTGAAGGAGGGGCACTGTGGCCGAAACACCATGGCCATCAACGTGGTTCATGGCCATTGCGGGTGATTGGGGGCCGCCACGGAGATTCATTTTGAGCGTCCATTGGAATTGTTCCTGCAAGTGGCATTTTCGTACAGGATCTCATGTTGTTGGCTTACGGCCCCCCCACCCCATTTTTAACCACCCAGCAGGCTCCGTCTTACTTTGCCCTGAGCATTATAAATTAGAATGGTAGAGTTGACGTGTTTTTTCCTTTTTCGGGGCGGGGGGGGGGTGTCCGGGCGGGCAAACTCTGCGAGGCACCTGCACCACACGCTTCAGCTCGAGGCCTGCGCGCGGCCGGGGGCCAAGACGCCGTGCCTCGGAATCGGGTGAGCGCCTTTGCTGGGATCGGTTGGGGGCGGTTTGTTTGCGACCTTGCCGGGATCAATCCGGGTCGAGCATCACAGTTGTGAGGACCTTTTTTAAGGGAAGCCAACAGGACAACTGCCGTTTTGGGTCCTAGCCCCTTTATTTTGACACGTGCTCATATGTGTCCCACCCTTCCCACCCCTTCCCCATCCGTATTGAGGCAGCGCTGCCCATCTCATTTACAAAGCCTTCCGTCACACAAACAGGCTGTGGTTTGGGGTCACACGTTACTTGGTGTTTGGGGTCGAGGGGGGGTTTGGCGGGTGAAGTTGCCCCAAGGTATGCGCGCCCCAAGTTGCCGCTGGGCGGGGCTTCGGGGGGTGGCTGCGGAGTGCCGCAAGCGGAGTGCCTCGAGGCCGTGGCCAAGGCGCCTATCCCCCGTCCCCGAAAGAATGATCGGGCCTCTGACAGGATGAGAACCGCTGCACGTGGCCATTTGCCACCACCTGTTGCCATTTTGCCCCGGACGCTTGCTTTTCCGTCGGGTTTTGGATTTGCCATTTCGACGTTGCTGGTTCACATGCAGCGCACCTCTGGCAAAACCAGCCTCATTTTCCAAGGTTGTTTCTCCCTTCGAAGAAGGAATTTTCCTTGGATGTGTTTTCCTCTGATGCCCTCATTGTTGGGTCGGCATAAACTATTGTTGCGGCTCCTTCGGTTCACTCATCATTCAGGTCTCTTTTGATTGGTTTGGACTGCCTTAGGGATTTAAACCAGAAGGGTAAATGGGGAACCCCGTTTCAAACCACCAATCCAAGCAGGGAGGCCGTTCTCTGCTCTGCAGCCCCGAAAGCTCCACTTCAACCAAGAGGCTTTCATCTTTCAGGTTGGTTTGCCGCATTCCTCCGGCGGCGGCTTGGTCTGGCTCTCCGCGGGCCTTCTCAAGCTCAACTCGCAGGTCGGACCTAAAAACGCCCCCTGGGGCCTCCGCACGGACCGAAACACAGAAGCTCTGAAACTTCCTGGCAGGAAATAGCAACTGGACCAAACCCTGGCACAAGGGGCAATTCCGTGTGGCAGGTCAGTGAGACAAAGCATCGCGGGCCAAGACCAGAAAATGGGGCCCGATGGAAGATGGAACATCTGAAAAAAGTGAAAGCCCTGTTGGCAAGGGGAGCTAAGGGTTGGACTCACAAACACAGCTTCGTTCCAGGCTTTCGCCAACAGACTTTTTGCGCGGATCAATTTGGCCAACCACTTTGTCCAAGCAGTTGGGCGCAAGCCAGTGCTACCAAAATGCTCATTTGCGAGCGCAGGTGAGGGTCTCGGCCTCGGGCACCGACGGGGGGCTGGTGGCCTACAAGGGAACCCTGCTGGCCAGTGGTGGCGGCGCAGGGGGGCAGATTGTGGCGCACCTGGGGGCCTGCCGTGTTGTTGGCTGCCAGGCTTTGGAGCTGAGTTGTCCAAAGCCAAACTTTGCAACTTTGAATCAATTTGAAGACTTTTGCTGCCTTTGTTTAGTGGCTGGAGCCGAAACGAAGGCTAAACTACCCCCCCCGAAGAATTGAGCAGGACTTGTTTCGACAACCATGGCTCGGGGCAGAATCGCCGAACCCTCCCTTAAACCCGAGCAGAGTCGCTCAAGCGGCAGATTCCAGGCAGCCCCCAATTTCTGATTCTACCCCCAAGATGTCAACAATTGTCCCAGCCATTTCCCATAGGGTGCCTGCGAGAAGCCTGCCTTCGTGGCCACTGGGGGGCGTGCCATGTGCTCTAGCCGGAGCTGGGCTGTTGGGGGCGCCGGCGGGGGCGGCTTCATCGGCCTCTCCGTCGCGACATCATTAAGCCCTTTGGCCAGGAGACGAATCGGTGGTGTTCCAAGGGCACCACATGGAGCAACCAGCCCTAAGGGAAGCCAAAAGGAAGTTGTGAAGACAGTGGCTTAAACATGTTGAGCCAGCTGGTTGGCCCCACTTCTCACTGACTGCTGAAGAGCAACCATAATTGGGAATTCCCCCAAAGCAAAGCCCAAGGGGCAAACGCAACTTGTGCAGAGCCATTTGTGCAGAGCCACTTTGCACAGACCAACTTGCACAGAGCAACTTGCCCAGAGACATCTGCGCGCAGGATTTTGGTGATCCCCGGACCAACCCGGCGTGGTCGATTTCAACAAACTGAGGACTCTTTATGAATTTGCGCTCCGCGGACCAACCCTCTGCTGTCGATGTGCAAAAACTGAGGACTTTTTGCGACTTCTGCTCGTCACGAATCGCTCTCGCTGTGGTCTTGTGCGAATTTCTTTGCTTTGGCTTCTTGCGAGCTGGTCCTTGGAAGTTGTCTCGTGGTTTGCACGGCTGCTCTTGTAATAGCGCAGTCGCACGGGTTCGGCCTTTGCGGGCTCGCGGGAAAATTGCAACTTTGAAGTACAAAAGCCATAACTAGTGGCGAGGCCCACTGGTCCCCGCAGCTTTGGCTGGAAAACCGCGGAGAGCGACTTGCGGACTTGCGCAGAGCAATTTGCGCCGAGCTCTCGCGCAAAGACACTTGCTCTGTGCAAGTTCCCGCCCGCGCAGACCAACTTGCATAGGGCCGCGGAGCAGACATGCGCAGAGCAACTTGCTCGGAGCGCTAGAGCTGTGAGTTTTTCGCTGTTTCGCTTTTGGACCGTTCATTTGATGCCACTGTATCTCACCTCTCGCCGCATGGCAGAGTGACTTGGGCATCATCGCCCTTTACCTCGTGAGCGCGAGCCCGCGCTGAGTGGAAAAGCGATGCGCTTGAGCGTCACCCCGTGCGCTGAGCCAGCTGCACAAGCTGGTAGCGGAGCTCCCGAACCAGGCGGAGCTCTTGCGACTGGATGCCCTTTGAGCCCATGAGTTTCGGGCCAAGAGGCGAAACCACTCAGGCATCCTCAGATCGTGAGCCTAGCGCCGATGAGATTCAGGATGAGCCCGGTAACCCAGCCGCAGGCCTCTTCAGCGTTAATGGACCGCGGCAGGAACAACAGCGTGTGCATGCTGACCAAGCAGAATGTCCTCGAGAGCGGTGGCCAGGCGAAATTCCAGGACGCCCATTTGGACCTAGAGGCAACGACCAAACAGATGTTCCCCGCTTCACAGGTTCCGGAGGCCCCGATCAACCGCATGGTCACGGACCCAGACAACTGGCAAGAGGGACAAAGGCAAGGTAAAAGGCTCCGGATGCAGAGCCTGCCAATACTCTGGTTTGAGACATGAGAAGGCGCTGAAAAGTTCAAGTTTGGAGCAGGATCCTGTCAGGTTGCTGACCGTTTGTGCCACCTGCCCTCTGGCATCAACAAGGAGTGCTTGTCCACAACAAGCAGACATTCCCTTCCTTGGCAGCCTGCCCACCCTCGAAAAGTTGGGATGTTTTCTGGGCCTTTCCCGTAAAAAGGCCTACCTGAACATGGTTGTGAAGTTCCCCTTTGCTTGGTTGAAGGACATTTGGCCCTCAAGATCACGGACTTCGCTCAGAACGCAGCCAAGCTTGGTGTTCATGCCGCCGCTGCTTCAGATGCTCAAAAGGCACCCTGGTGGTAATTGAGTCGCTTGTCCAGCTCGGTCGCAATCCTTCTTGCAAACCCAACGCAGGAGAGGTCGCTCTTGATCGCGTAGAGCGTGTAGGACTTCCATCCGGCCTTGGTAGTTGGCGTTGTTTCAATTGGCGCAGATGAATCCAATGCTTCTACAAGAAGGACCGCGACGGCTGCCTATCATCCTGATAGTCCATGTGGGCGATTTTCTGGCAGCCTTTCGCCCCGACTACGACAAGAAGGAGCTGGAGAATATGTTCTTGCGGAACCCATGGCGAGCTGACGCTAGACAATCCCATCGAGTTTCGCGGGAAAGAGATCAACCTCATCAAGGAGGGCAACACCTACACCGTGAACATCACGCAGCGCAGCTTCATCCAGGAACTTGCTATGGGTCAGATTCCCAAGGGCAAGCTGATGATCGACCAGCTAGACAGGGACGGTTGTCGTCAGTTCAAGAGCATTGCCGGCAGTCTTGAATGGTTGGCTGGCCAATCCCGACCAGATGTGGCAGCAGCAAACAAGGGCAGGGAGGCGACTTACAACGATCTCGTCATCCTGTACGAGGCCATCGCTGCGGTCAAGGCCACAGAGAACCTCGGCGTCGTGATCTGCCCGAGGTCCCTGCCCTGATCATCGGGTACAGCGACAGCTCATGGCCAAACGCCCCCGGCAGCAAAAGTCAGACGGGCATGCTGCTCCTTTTAAAGCTTCACCTGATGCGACTGAGCCCATCACCAAAGAATCCCCGGTCGACTGGAAGAGCGCCTTGGCTTCTGAGGCCAACGCCATGGATGAGTGTGTTGACCGCGCAACTTACCTGAACTACTTCCTCACAGAGCTTTGCACTGCCAGGCCAAATATGCAGGACGGCGTCTACGTCAACTTCAAGTCACAGAGTGCAAAAAGTCTGTATGATGCAGAAGTGATGGACAACCCATCCTTGACCGAGAAACGCACGGTCATCGTAGTCCGCTCCATCCAGGATCAGATCTCTGAAAGAGACCTCCGATGGGCGCCGACGCACCAAATGCATGCAGACGGGTTGACGAAGCACAGCCGCAACCTGCAAGATGATTGGCGACAGTGGATGAAGCGGCCCACTGTTTGTCTGAGGTCAGACGGCATCGAAAAGAACAAATCCCCAGTGTGAATTTTTCGCTGTTTTGCTTTTGGACCGTTTCTTTTGCACCTCTCGCCACATGGCAGAGTGACTTGGGCATCATCGCCCTTTACCTCGTGAGCGCGAGCCCGCGCTGAGTGGAAAAGCGATGCGCTTGAGCGTCACCCCGTGCGCCGAGCCAGCTGCACAAGAGAGCAACCTCTGCAAGGCACTTGTGCAGAGCACTTACGAAGCAGAATTTGCGCAGGGTAACTCGCTCAAAGCGCAGAGCGCTGGAAGAGATCGACGCGCAGACTTGCGCAGAGCAAAACTTGCGCAGAGAGCACGAAGCACCGCAAGCAGAGCGCTCGAGAAGAGCCACCCGAAAAGAGTTACCTGCGCAGAGAAGTTGCACAGAGCAATTGCGCAGAGCCATTCGCATGTAGCAACTTGTGGGCAGCATCTTGCAGCGCGACACTGCGCAGTCCACTTGCAAAGCTGCACTTGCGCAGAGACAAGTCTGCAGATTCTTCTGCTCATTGTGTAGAGCGCTCTCGTGTTTGTGGGGCGTGTTGTCATTGCGGTGGGAGGACCGGGGGCTTGACAAAACATGGCGCCAACATGCATTTTTACAGCAGCCAGGTGGAAGGGGGGGGGAGTTGCAGTGGAGCCTCTTCACATTGCAAACAAATTTGCAACAACATGCGCAACTGGAATCTCATTCCTGTTCCTTGCAGCATTTGGGGCTTCAAGTCTTTTTCGGGGCGCGTGTGGGGCTTTGTTCTTTTGGCAGCAATGAAGAATGAATGGGCACTGTAGCAGGATTTATGTGAAGCAAGCCTTGCCACCCGTTTACCTAATCTTAAATAGCGCCTGCCACCCAAGCTTTGCGCACCACCCGCTCAATCTCACCGTTCCCAGTTTTCGTCTTTGTGGTCTCAACAGTGGTAAAATCTGGGTCTCCCCAAATCTGTTTCACATCTTTGTTAGGGTAGGGTAAACAGGAAGCTGAATTAGGACATTGTTGTGTTTGTGTGCTCCAGATATGGGCCGAATGACATTTCTACAGGGCTTGGCCCCAGGTCATGACAGCCCGGTGTTGCTGGACGTGACGGGCGGGGATTTGACCTCTACCTGCGCCGACACGCTGCCGCAGAGCAGCTTGAACGTCACTTCACCGTTCTTGGCATTTTTTTGGCGGGGGGTGTCATTTTTGACCATCTTGATTGGCTCATCGTTTCCCTTCACAGTTTCTCTTTGAACCCAACCCCATGGTACCAGCTCCAAACACGAGTCCGTAGGTCATCCTCGGCCTGCCGGGCGTGGCAACGTCTCTGTCGCCCTGCGCGGCAGGCTCGGGATCCTCCAGAATTATGATGTTTTAAGGTAGGCCACACCTGGAATTTCATAGGTTCATTCCGCTTTGTGTTGGGGGACGCCCCCTTCAAGGTGAGGGAGGGGGGCTTTTAATCTGCAATTCGCATGCTTTCCCTGGTTGGGAAAATGGACAATCATGATTGGGCGCCCAAAACTACAGGACCCTTTGCTGGTTAATAGGAACAGGAGACCTGCTGCATTTCTTGCGAGAACACGCTACCTTACTATTATGATTCATGGCCCGCCAGTTTGATTGACTAGCCTGCAGTGTCTCCCTTGAATTCCGTCTTGCAGCGTTGCTCCCTTTTGGGCAATCAGGGACAGAGGTTTTGGAAGCTCAAGGGACGTTCTGGAGAAATCAAGGCACGCCAAGAATTGTTCATCTTTCTCTTGTCTCTTTTTTTTCTCTGGGAAACAAATCAAAGACGAGTCAGTAATGTTCGTTGAGCTGTTCCACCCCCCAAGTTGGAGTCCAGCTTTCATATGTGCCCTTTGCGTAAAGTGCCCTTACCCCCCCCCAAATACATTGTCACTTGAGTTTTTGGCGTTTTGATTTCCCCCAAAAGCCTTGCAGGCCATGCTGGGCCCTTCTGTGCTGCATGCGCAGCGGGCTTGTGGGGGGACGGCCAGCTGTGCCGCCCTTGCGCAACCCTGCAGGGCCTCGGTTTCTATGTGGCCCGAGGGTGGCCAAACGCGTCGTGCCCCTACCAGTGCAAGCGCCTGGGAAAAAGTCTTTGGCAACATGTAACATGTTCCTTTTTTTTGCCTGCTTGATTTCTGAGCTTTCTGCTAGCATGCTGCAATTGATTGAAAGTAGATGGCTCAAATATCCCTTTCAAGCATTTGGCTTAGTCATCCCCTTTTCCACACAAGGGACCATTGGTGTGTGTGTGTGTGTGTGCGTGTGTCGCGTGTCCACGTGTGTCCTTTTGTTTCCCGAAAGCATTGCGAAGGGTTCTTCCGGAAAAAGCTGGTTCCACTTGCGCAAGTACAGTTATGAGCAAGTTGCACCAGCGAGATACATCAGAGGTCGCTAGAGCAAGCTAAATGAGAAAGATACACTAGAGGGTTGCAGAGCAAGTTGCACTAGCGTTGCATGAGAGATGGCTTGAGCAAGTTACACTAGCGAGTTGCATGAGAGATTGCTTGAGCGAGTTACACTAGCGAGTTACATGTGAGATTTCTTGCGCGAGTTGTACAAGCAGGTTACATCAGAGATTGCTTGAGCATGTTACACAAGCAAGTTGCGCAAGGATGATACACAAGAGGTTATCGGATGTCGCTAGCGCAAGCTGCATGGGAATGCCGCACCAGAGGGTTGCAGAGCAAGTTACACTAGCGAGTTGCATGAGAGATCGCTTGAGCGAGTTGCGCCAGCGAGCTACATGAGAGATTGCTTGTGCGAGTTACACTAGCGAGTTACATGAGAGATAGCTCGAGCGAGTTGCACAGGCAAGCTACATGAGATTGCTTGAGCAAGTTACACAAGCAAGGGTAGCTTTAGTCCAGTGATTTCGCGCATGAGAGAAAGGTAGTATAGCTCGACAAGTAAAACTTACTCTTTTAAGGCGGCGGGCCTGCACCAACTTGTTGATTGGAAAACCGACCCTCTGCGTGGATCGGCGTGCTCGATGTGAGGACATTTACTACTTTTCACAAGGCGTGGTCGATGTCCAAAAACTGAGGGCTTTTACTGCTTGCTGCGGTCGCGGGCCGGCCTTCTGCGTAGCTCGGCGTGGTCAATGTTTAAAATCTCAGGGCTTTTGCTACTTGCTGCGGTCGGACCGACCTCTGCGTGGATCGGCCTGAACCTGTTCCTACTTTCTGCGGTCGCGGATCGACATCTGCGTGGATTGTGCGTGTCGAAGTGCTCTCGCTGTGCGACTTTCTTGCTCACGAAAGGCCTGTGTGGAAGATGGAAAATTGAAGTACACTTTCGCAGCTCCGGCTGGAAAATCGCAACCTTTAAGTAGGAAAGTGCTACGTGAAGTAACTTTTCGTAGCCCCGGCTGGAAATCGCAACTTTTAAGTGCGAAAGTAGCACGCGAAGTAAACTTTCGCAGCTGCGGCTGGAAAATCGTAACTTTGAAGTGCGAAAGTAGCACGCGAAGTAAGCTTTCGCAGCTGCGGCTGGAAAATCGCAGCCTTTGCTTGCTCAGAGCAGCTTGCTGAGAGAACTTACTTGGAGAACTTGCTCAGAGGAAATCGCGCCGACAACTTTCCCCGCGCAACTTGCTGAGAGAACTTGCTTGGAGAACTTACTCAGCGGAAATCGCGCCAACAACTTGCTCAGAGCAACTTTCTGAGAGAACTTTCTTGGAGAACTTGCTCAGAGGAGCTCGCGCCAACAACTTGCCCAGAGCAACTTGCTGAGAGAACTTGCTTGGAGAGCTTGCTCAGAGGAACTCGCGCCAACAACTTGCTCAGAGCAACTTGTCGAGAGAACTTGCTTGGAGAACTTGCTCAGAGGAACTCGCGCCAACAACTTGCCCAGAGCAACTTGCTGAGAGATCTTGCTTGGAGAACTTTCTCAGAGGAACTCGCGCCAACAACTTGCTCAGAGCAACTTGCTGAGAGAACTTGCTTGGAGAGCTTGCCCAGAGGAAGTCCGCCAAGAATTTGCTCGGAGCAACTTGCATAGAGAACTTTCTAGGAGAACTTGTCGCCGTTGCTAATGCTTTCGGGCCACCCATCTTCCAGATTTTTTTGCTTGGTTAAGGGGAGGGTGTTTTTTCAATTTGCGGGACCCTTTATTGACAGACGTGAGGCGTGGGCTGCCGCACGTGAAACTCAACCCCGAGTGCCTCAGCAACCTGCGCTTCGCCATCAGCTGCCTCGGGGGGCGGCTGGGCCTTGTGGCACCTCGGATCGGATCGGCTGGTTACCGGGTCGCATTTTGGGGGTGGAGGAAAAGGTGCGTACATGTATTTACATGTATATGCACACAAGCTTGTAGTGCAGTATGTACCCTTCATATAAGTGGTACAGGACCTTCATACCTCTAAAGCTGAGAATGCCCTTCAGGCATGGGGCCCAACACAAACTCCTCCGTTTGGTGATTTTGTTTTTAAGTTCCATGTGAATTTGTTTGTGGCGGAGGAGGAGCCGAGGCCGAAGGCATCCAGGTAGTGTATCATTCCTAGTCAATCCGCTTGTTTCTAGTGTTTAGGCTTGTTTGGCGCTGGCCGGACGGGGCCGGTCAAGCTCCAGAGGTAGTATAAGATGCAAGTTGACCTATTGAAGAATCCGGGTGTTCACTAACGTGAGGGGTTGCACTAAAGTGACCGCTGCTTCAAACAGCTTGGACTCCTGTTGCCATTTCCGGCCATGGGTCCGGGTTTTGACATGGCAAAACCACATGATTGTCCTTTGGTGCAGTGTGAAATCCACGGATTCGGAACCTTTCGGATGCATAGGGGCAACCTTGAACCCTATTGGTCCAAGACGGTGTCCATGTCAATGTGCAAACAAACCGGTTGTTGAACGTTGGCCAATCCACCCGGAAAGCGAGTTTTGTCAAATGGGAACCCAGCATGCAGTTAAACTCATCTTTGAAATTGATCGGGGGCATCCTGTTCAAGAGGGACTCGTCTCTCGGGAAACATCCCTCCAAAAGGATAGCAAAAGGATTCATCCCAAACACTAGCTGCTTTACAAGGATTCGGATCTTCCAAAGCAGCTGGTAGTTGGTAAAGCCCCCTTCGCAAAAGGGAAGGGGCGAAAAAATCAGGGAGAACCGGCCCCAAACCTCGAGGCCCTTCCCGGACCAAAGCTCGAGGCATCGCTGCTGTGCCCGGTGCTGATCTTTTTGGGGGCCCGGTTTTGCCGGGCGCCGCCGGCCATCCAGAGCACCAGCTTCCCCTCGGAGCTGCTTCTTGGTGAATCCTTCATTCGGGTTCCCGTACAGGTGCCGTTTTTTTTTTTTTTTTTTTTTTTTTTTTTTTTTTTTTTTTTTTTTTTTTTTTTTTTTTTTTTTTTTAAGTTATATATATATATATAACGATTTTTGTGAACTGTTGTATATGATATGCCATACGGGTTTTTGGCTTTCCTTGCAGCCACCACGCTTCCGCGCTTTTGCGGATTAGACCTCCTAATCATACTTCACGTTTTGGTGGTTTTAAACGCATCACCTTTCATGGGCCCCCATCTAAGGTGAGTTTCCCTTGATAGATCTATTGGGGAAGTACTGGGAACCTGTTTGTGGTTTCTCCTTAACCGTTCCAACATCATTCCTTGAGCCATTCAGATGGGGTGATGTTTAAGGCGGAAAGAGAGGGAGCGCTGTCAGCCTAAGGTCTGGACTCCCCAACCACACCCCCAGAAGGGGGTCTCAACTGGGCGCATCTTTGAATTGATCTTCCCTCGTGGCTTTCGATGCCATCTTGGACACAAAATGCGCCTGCCGCAGTGTACCTTTTGGCGGGTTCTGTCGGTCATATCGCTTAGCTGCATGTGGAAGCTGTTGCACCTTCCGCGAAGGTGCTGCCCGTGTCACCCAGAGGATTTGGAATCTCTGGGGTGTAAACTTGAATTCGCGCGGGCCTGTGGCCGTTTTGTGGCTTCCATTGGTTTTCCTGTTTTGGGGGGTTTTAACTGAGTTGATGCTCTAGTTGATTCTCTGGCAGCGTATCGCAACTGGTCTCCCAAACCAAGAGTGGGGCTCGGTGCGTTTCGTGGGCGTGCCACAGGCTGCCGAAACACTCGCGCCGGATTTTCCTGCCGGGGGAGAACTCCTTCGAGCGGCCGTGGCGGGTGGAGGTGCTGGCGACGGAGTGCTCCGAGGCACGCCACGTGAGCTATGCGAAGCGACGCATGTAACAAAGGACGGATTTCGCCCGTCATTTTTTGCTTAGAACTGCTTTGTTTTGGTTTGCTCTCACTGGACACATGTTCATTTTTTCCAGGGAGCTCAAGACGATAGGGATTTGGACCCCAATGGTCGGTGGTGTTTGTGGCCTCCGATTAAATTGAGGTGAAACGGGCACCCTCAGAGAAAAAAAAAACGACTCGTTTAATCCACCAGTTACTCCATTGAGGTGGGGGGTTAACAACCCTCATTGAACCGCCGATGCCCCCTTGGGAACGATTGTTACTCGTTCCATCTGGGCGAATGATACCCCAGGTTCAAGCCCCCCAAAGAAAACGGTCCACTCCGAGCTTCAAAGAAGGGCGATCCATGGAGCCAAAAAGGGGGCTCGATTCAGGAACCCAATTCTTGATCTCCATCGTGGTCCATGGTCCCCCTCCCCAAAAGAAGTCAAAAAAACACCACTGGACAGGTCCCAGAGAAAAAGCCGCAGGTGGTTTTAAGTCGGCTGAGCGAGATCCTGGCGGTGCCGGCATGGGAGCCGGTGTGCCGGGACCCCCAAGGTTGCTGGGGCGGGGGGGGGGGGGGGAAGAAGGGGTGGGGAGCCACAATCAAAGCAAGCAGTTTGGGCGGTTCTCAAGATTGCTGGGAGTTCTTGGACTTCGGTCGCTTTTTGAGAAGACATGAAGCAAAGCATGTGGTTAATTACTCTTTTGGCCGAACTCAGGAAGCGAGGAATGGGGTTGTGGGGGGGGGGGCTTTACGCCAAGACCAAGTGACATAGAGAACAAGAGCGTGTGAAACTTTAGCCTTTGCGTTGGCTCATGAGAAGGCGAGGTGGGCAGATTTTGCAACTTTCTCAGACATTGGGTCCATTGGGTGTTTATAACCCAACCCAGTGTTTTTTGCTTAAGAAACAACAAACAAGTAAATCCCAATGCTGTTTTTACAAGCACCCAATGCTTAGGCCTCTTTGCCGCATGGCTGCTGTGCCCTCCCCTGTTTCAGCTGGCCGCGTACCAGCTCCGGCGGCGCCGCGCGCAGAAGGCGCAGGCGTTGCTCCCAGGGCCGACGGCTTCGGGAGCTTCAGCTTCGCGGCTGGGCTGCGACGGCGGAGCCACGCTGGGCTTCCTGGACATTTTCGACATGGAGAGGCCTCGCCGTGTTTTTCTTGAGGCCTTGCGCCCCCAAGTGACCGGCTTCCTTAACATACAAGGATAGGGGGTGGGATAGCCCCTCGAATAGCCCCCCTTCCACGTGCTTCGAGCCTTAAAAGACGACGGTGGTCGTCATTTTGGGTGTGCCTTTGAAACGACCCCACAACGGGCACCCTCAAAAACGACACACCCATTTGGGTTTATCTAAAAATTAGGGGAGCCCAACAAATGTGTTTCTCTTGTTTGGTCTCCCGTTACCAACCAAGTTTCAGTACAGCTTCACCTGATATACAAGCACATACTCTTCCTTGCTCTCCCTCTATCCCTCTCCCCCCTTGTCTGGCAATGGCGGTCAACTTTCGGAGGACTCAACAAGAAATGCTCAAACAAATATTGCGATCCCTTTAACTTTCCTTCAAACCACAGTGAATAGGGTACACACACACACACATTGCCGAGCGGTTTTTTTCCCCCTATGCTTGGGCAGGGCTGGTCCCATTCGACCCGATCGGCACAAGGCCTTGACCCTCAACGACAGGCAAACTCAGATATACTGGGTTGTTACAAGGCAATCCTCAATCCTCAGCTTGGGTTACGAAAGGTTTGCAGTGGCTTTCCAGTATACCCTGAGGTTTTTCGGGCTTTTGCGCGGGAGCTGGGCGCCAGGTCTTTGGTGGATTGGGCTCCAAGCCTGCGGCAGGAGCACATCTTCCTGGTGCGCGGTCAGGCGCCGGCATGGATCTCCCCCCCCTCCATTTGTGGGTGTCCTCCTATTTTGACACCTCGTAGGGCAAGTTACTGGCTCCAGGGGCCAAATTTTCATTACCTCAGGGACTTTGGTTTGAGGGGGAAGTGAATGCAGTTTAGACCTTGGCGTCTCAGAAAGCACACGAAATACGAACCAGAATCCCCACATCCCGTGAAGAAGGGGTGGGGGCGTTTTTATCTCATAGTTTCTCTTTTTGTTGAGGGCTCTTGTCTGGGCAGACAACGTCGGCTTCAGGTTTGCGACCTGACCCAGGACCGAAAGTTTTGGGGAATTGCTCTTTTGGTGCAGACTGGCACCTGCCTTTTGGGGTATAATTCACCTTTCCTCCTGCACGAGCGGACTAAATGCTTAGAGAAGCTCCAAGGCCACCTGAGCCACAAGCAAAGCCCTGGGTCGAAGGGACAAGCCCAACCAGGTCCGGATGTCTGGGCTGAAAAAAAAGTTCTGGTTTTGTGTAGGCCAACTTTACCAGGTGTTGATTATGACTCAGGGCAGGTTCTTCGCATCCCCGCCGACCCAGGGCACTTGGAGCTGCCCCTGGGAGCTGGACGTGGGGGATCCCCTGCTGCTGGGAGTGGCGCCGAGCCAACTGGCGCCCCAGGCAACCTGACGGCTTCACTTCCATTATTCTTTGGCCTGCCGAGGAAACCTGGGTCTTGGGAAGGGTTTCAGTCCAAGTAGTGTTTAGATGCATCCTTGAAGGAATCCCTGACAAGTGCCCCTCAACTGATGGGTCAAACCATAAGTTTGATTGGTCATTCCCCTTCACCGCAAGTGAGAAAAGGAGTATCAAAAGTCAGGGTGACCAAACACCTTCTCATTCCCCCCCCCCCCGCCCTCTTTGGCAGCCTTTCGCATCCATGGGAAGAGGCGGCCTTCTCGCTGGTCTGCGCCTTCAACCGCCTGAGCCGACACCTGGCGAGGCCTCTGACGGACTCGGACCCCGCGCTGCGGCAGCTGCAGGAGCTGAGGCGCCAGCACCTGGCGCAGGCGACGCGACACATGTGTCGTACTTCCTGAGTTGCCCCGGACTTTTTAGACACTTTTTGGGATTGGACCATCTTAAGAAATGTAAACAATGAGTTGGGACTTCTTTTTTTTCTTTCTGGCGAATCTACTCGGGAAGTGAGTGAAGCTCAAAAGGCGAGTGTTCTTTCCGGCTGACACCCGGTCATTCCCTCATACTGAGAAGCGGCAGGAACAGCGGTGAGTTTTTGTTTGGGAATTTCGGTTTGTAGGGTTCACCAGCGGGAAACTACACACTTTCGGGGTCCCTCATGTTGAGAGTGACAGGCTGGGAGGGGCACCCCCGCAGTCCCATGATTGGTCACCCTGAGAGCCTTGCATTCGAGGGCAAGACCCCTCTAGTCATCCACCACGTCGATTGTTCGCCGATCCGTGGTTGAAGGTCCCTTACTTGGGGATTGCTTAAGTCAGGTTGACCTCTTAGGGCTTCCTTATCAGGATATTTCTCTCGCGGGTGCCTCCTCAAGTCAGTCTTTTCCCTGCAAAACGGGGTCTTAGAAATAGACATATTTCGGCGGGCGTATTTCAAGTTTTAAAGATTAACCGCTCAGATGTGATTCTCAGAATCCAACGCTGTTTAGTTCCGGTGTAGCCCGGGGTTGGGCCAAGTGCCTGCCACGCGCGTTGTTTTGGTCCCGCCCGTGGTGCCCACCCCTAGCCGAGGTGCAAGTCTTTCGCCTGCGCTCGAGGGAGGTGTGCTCTTCTGGGCCGACCTTCTCAGACCTTGTGACTCGAAACAAATCAAATCGGAGGCCCTGGGATGGGTTTTACTCGCATCCTGGTCGCATTTGTTTTTATTAAACCAGGAATGGGAATAGGAGAGAACCCTTTTGGGTTGCTTAAGGGGACCTAAAGGGAAACCGCGGCTTTGGGGGCTTCCCCCAATATGACCCACCCAAAGTTTCTCTTTCGTGCGATGTTTCTTTGTGGACCTAGCCCTCCTCAGGCCTCGAGCCTCAATAGGGGCTTATGGGCCTGAGTGGGGGGCGGGGGGCGGGGGGTGGGGGGTGGGGGGTCGGGAGGGGGTTGCAAAAGCTGAGCCATGGGGTATGGGATGCATGGGCCGTTGGCGCATCAGCCAAAAAGTCGCCAAGCCAGCCTTTCCACGGGCGGCTGCAAAGTAGAAGTACAAGTTGCTGCTTTCAATCAAGTCCAGTCTTGCAGTAGGTGTGCACGGGGAAGTCTTAGGAGTGGCGCAGAATGGGGCGTTGGTTTGCCTTTTGGTTTCCGCTTGAACAGGGGTGCCCACTCCTTAGAATGTAAAGTCATTTCCTCGGGGTTCTCCCCTGCGCGAGACCAAGGGTACAAACCGGCAACTCCAAAAAACCTGAACCCAAACGGGATGTCCAACAACAGGGAGCCCTGATTTGTTTGCTTCTCTTCTTGTAGTTTTCCTGCACGCGCAAACCTGAAGGCAAACTAGCAAGCCCCCAATCAAGTGTCAACCAGGGGGCTTAGGAAGCAGTTCCCAGTGGCTATTGGGCAAAGAACTCCAAGCTGAGGAAGAAATCAAATGTTTAAAGATTTTGATCAGAATCCCGCTCCAAAACTTGGGGTTTGAATCCGGGTGAGGTCACTGGGTGCGGTCCATTTTTACCTTCTTCTTTTTCCCGTAAGGACCGTATGGATTTCTGGCAGCCCGGGAAGGGGGGGAAGGCTGGCATGAAAGGAGCTTCAAGCGCCGGACAATTGAACTTGGTTTGGACTGCTGGGGTTGGACCCCCCAAGAAGTTCACCAATCCAAGCCACCGAAACCAACCTGCTGATGGTCGAATTTCCTGACCCTCCAGCCTCAGGTCCGCCGAATCCCCTCCAGCACCCAAGATGCGGAGTTCCGCCTTGGCCTCGTCTTCTCCGCGACCGCGAATCCTGCGAATAGATTCGCGGAAAGGGAGGCGATGTGGGGTAAGTGTGCGGGGTTCCAACGAGAAATGGACTCCCTTTTTTGCCATGGCCATTGGAGGTCTGGGGGCCGTACTTATCTTGCGTTTGCCCCCTTCAAAACGATACCAATTCAAAGTGAAGCTGTCATAGGAATCAACTTTGCTAGGCGTGGGGTGTTTGTCTTTACGTTTGAGGGGACCCCGCGACGCCAAATTTCCCCAAGGCGCCGCTGGTGACGCCCCAAAGGCCGGAGCTGCCGGAGCCAGGGCCGGAGGTGGCGACCAAGGTGCCAGCGACGCAAAGCGGTGGTTTCGGGAGGTTGGACGCAGGTCTTGACTTGCCATGGGGTGGACGTAGGATGCATTTGTCATGTTATCAGTGGCTCAAAGTGAAGCAAGCAACGAGATACACACTCTAGAATTGCGCATGGCACCAATCATCATGTGGGCGTGGCGCCCGAAATGGAAACGGCAAATTGAAAAGTAGAATAACGCTGCAGTCCCCTGCTCTTATATTTGAGCCACACCTATGTAAGTCATAGAGGTTGAATCATGGAGCTGCCATCAGGGTCCTGGCTGCTTCCCCTTTAGGGGTATAAGCATCATCGCTTTTGCTGAAATAAGCAACCGCTGATCCTTATTCGCCCATACATTGATGATTGTACGGCCTTGTAGGGAATCTTTCTTTGGTGGGCGGCTGTGATGGCGGACATTTTGCCAATGTAACGCTTCTGTTGGGGCGATGCCCAAGCCATGGCTGGCAGGCTTTTAGAGTAGGAGTTAGCAGGGATGGCCATGGACCCTTCAACAAGGAAGGTAGACAGGGCTCCGAGTATTGGAGCCATGACCACAACCACCTCTGGAGGTTTTGGCCATCGCTTTTTTGGAGGGCCCCCTCTTCAGGCCGGTTTAAAGGTAGAAGGACGGCACCCCCATTTGGACATCCATGAGAATACCTTTCAGGAGGAGACAAGCGGTGATTGGCGGCGCAAGCTCGCTAGCTTCCGCTTCTGGCTGCTGGTGCGATGCTCCTGCCCGCAGGCGCAAAAAAAAGGAGAATTCATGCAGCCTTGTGGCTTTCGAGCTCATGCATTGTGAAAGAGCCCACGGGAGGTTCACCTATTCTTGGTTCTGGAAGGTAAAGCGCTCTTTGCAGTTTCGTGTAATTTGTTGGGGGGGGATGCCGGAATTGGGACTGATTTTGGCCACCGGAATGCCGAAGGGTGCCGCATGTATGGGGCTTCAGCTCCCCTGTTTGGGCTTGGAAGGGGGTGCAGGGCACCTAACCCGTTAGTTTTCCCTGACCTCGTGTTTTGTGTGTTGCGTTCCGCTCTGTGCGACGCTCTTTCCACGTGCCTCATGCATGGCATAGTGACGCCAAGCGATGCCCCGGCTTGGTGCCCCTGTGGTGCTCTGCTGTTCCGTAGCGCAGGGAACGGCCTGTTAGCCAAAGTGCAGCCATTTCCAAGCCAACCAGCCCACCCACCCGCCCGCCCGCCCACTCAGCAAGCACCCAACCAAATCGCATAGCCATCTAGGTTTGCCTCCAAATCGGACCCGCAAAAAGGGTGGTTTCCCTTGGTTTCGAAAAGTAAGCTAGGTGTATGCTGAAAATACACGGTTAGGAAGTAGTTTCCCGTTGCCCCTCTACAAGAACTAGGGGATGCAAATCCATGCCACCAATCCAAACAACCAATTGGAGGGAAGCTGATTCAGATTCCCTTGTTACGTGCTTTGGATTGGTTTCAAGGTTAGGAAAGCACGCCCACCTCGGCTCCGAGCCAGGCGTCCTTTCTGACGATGTCGCTGGTCTTCTTGATCTTGGTGGTCTTCGATGTCATGGCCTGCGCACCTTGGTAGGCGATGGCTTCTTTTCTTGATGCACTTTTGTCTTCCCGTCTCAAATGGTTGGACCACACAAATCCGGGCGCACGGCAAAAACCCAGGCTCCCTTTTGAGGCAAACCACTGGGTCTGAGGCTGCCTTGGGGTACTCAAAAGAATCACAGTGCTTGAGTTCCTTAAAAGGCCTCGCTTCTCGGTACTTGGTTGGATCTTTCGGTCTGGGCCAATTGGGCAGTTTCTTGTAGAACCGACCATGTTGAAACAATTTTTGAGCCATCCAGTCTTCAGTAGATCCAATATCTTTGTTTCCCTTTCAACCGGCCGTACAGTGTACGTTTTGCAGGGGGACAAAGTGCCGGAAGGGTGGCCCCCCAGAATTTAACAGGGGACTCAGAATTCCAGCTGGTAGAGTGGTAATCTGTTTCATTGGGAGCTGCCAGTTGATCAAGACTCCGGGACGCGACCCATGGGCCGCTTTCCTGGGGTCTCCTTCAAACATTCAATCAGGACTATTTGGGTAGCGCCCCAAAACCCTCCACTCATCTATCTCCCTTCAGAGTTGGGGCCATTTCCTCTTTGGACCTCAAGTTTGTTTCGTGTTGTTTTCTTTGTTGTGGGGGGGAGGTGTTGGGCGGGTCTCAAAGAAGATTTCATTGGAGGGCTATATATTTTAGGCTTTTTGCCTGTTTTTCTTTAAGACATTTTCCTGGATTTTGTCTTATCTGGTTTCTTAGCTTCTTGGCTTTTGGCCTTTGTCTTCTTGGAGTCTGGGCTTTTTGGCTTTTGGCTCGTGGCTTTTTGGTTTCTTGGCTTTTGGCTTTTTGGCTTTTTGGCTTTTCGGCTTTGGCTTTACTTTTTGTGGCCTTTGTGGCTTTGGCTTTCCGCATCCTCAGCACCACCAGAAACACCCCAGCATCACCGCCTTTTTTATTTATTTTTGGTTGGTGGCTTCTTACCTCCCATGTTTTTGTAGATGGGGGGGGTGCACCCCCCCCAACCCCCCTGCTCCTTTGTAGCGTACGAACCCCAATGAATCCAACGCCCACCCCAAACTCACGTTTTTGGCCCAAAATGACCCTGAACCAACCCTAAACCAAACAAACCCACTCTAAACCAGCAAGAGACTATCCCTCAACCAACTCTAAACCTACCCTACACCAACCCCAAACACCCTAAGCCAATCCCGAAACCCACCCTAACCCCACCCAAACCAACCCTAAGTCCGCACTAAGATTGTATTATTCTGTATTGATGCTGGTTTAGAGTGGGTTTGTTTTATATGATCCGCACTAAACCAGCACAAAGCCATTGCTAATAAGCCCACCTCAAACCACCCCCACTAAGCAAACCCTATAGCTACCTAAAGCAACCCCAAAACCAATCCCTGAGCCCCCGTACACCAGCACAAAACCCAAACTCAACCCACCCCTTAACAAACCCAAAGCAAACGCGACACCAACCGCCAAACCAACACTAAACCATCCCACCTAAACACAACCACAGCCTAATCCAACTCTAAACTCACCCTAAGCCAGCCCTAAACCCCTGAACCCCTGAACCAACCCCCAAGAAGCCCACCGTAAACCAGCACTAGACCATCCCAGTACCTAAAGCGCAGCCACCCCCACCATGAACCATCCCTAGCCAACCAAATCCAACTCGTGATGCTGTGCATGTTGAAAAGGATGCTGCTGAGTTAAAACGATGGCATGGATGCTGACAGCGCTGGTGCAAAACGAGTCAAACCACAGCAGAACCAAGGGAGATGTCACTTGCCAGTCCCAAAGCAAAACGAAGAAAACCCCAAAACACATCGAGACCCGATTTCATTTGCTAAGACCTTGGAGCAGCGCAATCCAAGGCCTTGATGGCCTACAGCCTCTGGGCCCTGGCGGCCCCGGGGGTTCTGCGCCGCTGGCTGCTGCTGCCCACGCCCCTGGCGCCGCTGCTGGCGCCGGCGCTCGGCCTGGCGGCACTGCTGGAGGGGAGGCGCGGTCCAGGGAAGCCATCGGCTTGCTGGTTCGACAGGCAGTGAGAGAGGCATAAACCATCCCACTGGAGGTGTCCTTTTTAAGGGAATTCCCAGGTTCATTCCATCTCTCATTCCCTCCGTCAGCAAGTGGAGGGTGTTTTTGGAAGCCATGGGTTACCACGGGAAACCACGAAGTGAAGAGGAGGGGAAAACGTACTACACAGGAGCAGTGAACGAAGCGTTTGCTGAGCATGCAGCTCGGGCGGAGCCCTCCAACGGAAATTGGAACACAGAGCCAAGCAAGATCTTGCAAAACCGGGCGCCTACTACAGGGTGCCATGGTGCCCCTCCTGATTTGCTTAAGTCCTCCCCGGCTAAAAAAATGACATGTACCAAGCAGTGTGTGACGAATCCCCTTCAGCACCAACACTGGGGAAGAAACAACGCATTCCTAAGCAAGTGAAAGCAATCGCGGCCTTAGGCACAGCTGCGTAAATTGTTCACCCTCGCCTGGCGATAATATCCAAGCCGAGTTGACATTGGTGATGAACCTTGGTCGTTCCTACTACCGAAAATGTCCATGAAACTTCTTGCAAGCTGTGGACACGGCCATTTTCCAAACAGTGAGACAAACAGCAGCGGTTTTTTAGATACAAGAAAACAGTGGTGGTATTTGGAGGGGGCAAATGCGTAGTCTTGGGCCTGACCGAATCCAAAGACCATGTTTTGGAGGTCTGGGTTCGCAAATGGTTTTTTCAGGCAAAAAGGCCAACACAGAAAATGGATGGGCTTCCTGTTGCTTTAAGCCAGATTTCGCATGTTTCCTTTGGTTGAGCATCACCTTTCTGGCGTGAAGGGGCAACGGGAACCCTCACTGGGATCCCGACCCTTGGGTCCTCACTGGGCTCGATTTTAGGGAGGCGGGAGGCCGGGCGTGGGGAAAAGGGGGGGGGGTGGTCAAGGCCGGTGGCCCTCAGATCCCAGCAGCCCTGGTAGTTGGCCTGCCAGGCCTGTTCCCAGTTTCCGCGAAGCTTCTCCCCTTTGTCCCACTTGAATTTGCGTTGCGGTGGGTTTCCCTAAAAATTAGGGACCCCTGAAATTGGCGGCAGAGCCTGGTGCAAAGATACATCTAAAACCACGTGCTTTGCAAGGGTGGATTCCAAATCAGCTGGCGATTATTGGCATCAAATGCATCCTGTAAGCCACGCTTTAAGCACACATGGCCTAAGGTTTCCCTTTAAAGCATTGGGTGGAGCGAGTTGGCTGGGTATTTCCAGGCTCGCAAACGGATCGCAGGACATGAGGACATGGATGACCATTTGCCCACTTACGGATCGCGTCTGAGGTGTCGAGGGCAAGTTTATTCGTAGGACTCCTTTGGCGCAGTATTTGCACCGCGGCCACGCGCAACTGGCGCTGCGCAGCCTGCTGAATCTGGTGCCAGTGGCGCTGGTGCTGAAGGTGGGAGCATTCGAAAAGGGGAGGGGGGAGCGCACGTTTTTGTTTGTGTTTGCTTCTCTTCGTGTTTCGTGGGTGCAAAGAACAAGGTGACAAGGCCTTCTGAGCTTCTGTACCAGGATCTGGGAAGCTTAGGGTCCGCTTGAAGCTGGCCCGTTTTGCGAAAGCGTGGAGTCAATGTCCCAGAGGGTCAACCTTGTATTCCACATCGGCAAGTGAGGATTGCCTTTCGTTCTCACCCTTTGGTGAACATCACTTAAGGCTGGGATTAATGTCCACGGAGATTGGTTCCCTATTGCAGTTCGCAGCCTGGGTCAGTGAGCATTTCGATTGACGCGGCACTTTGTCAAGTGCGTCATTGCTGGTTGGTTTCCTTTTGGTCGCCCCTTGTCAGAGCCCCCTAAGCCCATTTGAGGTTTGCAGAGTGTGTATGTTTGATATGTATATATATATATATATATCTGTATATGCACACATGTAAGTGTAATGTATTGTTGCACATAGCAATGCGAATATGTATCTAGATGTATATATATATATATCTACTATATAGATATGTATATGTATATGTTGACATGCATCATCAATAGCAACTGATATCGCAATTTTCCTGTATATACCGGGGGGTTCCTTGCCTTTCAGCTGGCGGGTGATAGCAGTTTGCCCAGCCTGTTTCTGCGCGTGCGGACGCGACCCCCAACATGACTTGTGGGGGGGTGGTTAGGATTGGGGGTGTTGGACCGCACGATGAACACCAGGTGAAACTACATGGCCCATGTTCCCTTCGGGCAGGGTAAAGGGGATGAAACCGGAATGAGGAATTTGAATCCCCCCTCCGACTGCATCCATTCTGAGGCTGAGTTGCTGCTGCCTTTCTGCCTCTTGGCTGCTGTTCGGATCTTCAACACCTTCAACCAACTTGGAGTCTGATTCTGGTTTTGCGAACCTTTAGCCCACCGATTTGGAGCGTGGTTCTGGGTCTAGCCAGCCAACCTAAAATCTCCCCCCCCCAAACAAAACCAAGCCATTTTGACTTCCCCCTCCCCCGCCCTTCAACGCAACCCAAAAAGGTTGCCGAGCCTCAAACAAAAGACGGCCACCCAGTTGGCTCAGTGACGACTCGGTGACCCAGGCGTGGTTCTGGTGCTGAATCTCTGCACCATCTACGCCGCCGCCGCCTTCAGCGTGCTCGCCGCCGAGGCGGCGGACCGCTGCGCCGCGAAGGCGCACTCGGCGCACTCGGCGGAGCGGCGGGCCGCCTCCACGCAGATGATGGCGGCGCGGATGCAAGGAACGCCAGGCTGCCGGTTGCGAAGACCCTTTTGTCAGTTTTTCTCCTTTTTTTTGGTGGTGGGGTGGGTGGGAGTTTTTTAGAATCCACCAAAGAAAGGCAGTCCTTCATCCTTACCTTGGGTTCTGAAAGGCTACTGTGCTGAATTGTAGTGGTTTTCCATCAGGGACTATGGAATTAGGCTTGACCAACACTCCATTTTGAAGGTTCGAATGAGCAACAGTTAACATTTACCGGCATTTACCGTAGTAAGGGGGATGAGATGGGTCAACTCACCAAAGTACTACGAGAAACCACGACGAAATGGGTGTTCATCCCGTGTCCTCTTGGTGTGTCAAGTTTAGTTCTCCGACTCACACAGGAGCAAATCTGGCCGATGCAGGTGGTCTAGGCCACCTGTCAGACAAAGCAAAGACATGGCGTGTTTGGACATAAATCGTCCAATGAATTAATTCAAAATCACACCTCACCAGGACGGTCCTTTCAAGACTATGTATCATTTGCTCCTATGGTCGTTGGCCTCCCTAATTTGTTTTGTTTACCCCTTATTTAGAATCACCCGGGTGGGCTAGTCACAATAATTCCATTGGACTGGATTGCCGTGAACTCAGCTCAGGTTTTGCCGCCTCGCTCACAGACAGTCTCTGACGCAGATCCCGGTGGTTTTCAGGGGGTACCCTGAATGATTTGGGTGTCTCTCAAAATTAGGGACCCATTCCTTCCCATTTCTTCATGCAATTGGTTTCGGTTTGGGTTCCTCCAAAAACCACACCAAAAAGGTCCCTAAATTTGAAGGACCCAGTTGGGTGCACATCACCAAACGGGGAGCCCAGAAAAAGGTGGGTGGTCCCGACCGAACGGGTTCCAAAGGCCGTGCCCGCGCTCTCACAAGAGGTCGAAATAGGTTTGCTCGGCTTGGGCCATCGACGGGGTCAGAACTTATTGAGTAACCTCCTTGGAATCGACCCCAATGGACTTCAGCAGCTGCAGATCATTTCTTGGGTCCATTTCCTCATGTTTGTGCGAAACTGCACCTAATTCAGCACCTCACTCCCTAAGCGTGCCAATCCCAATTTTGGTCTGCTTTGGTCTTAGGCCATGTGTTGGGGGCCGGCGTGCTTTGGGTGAGTCTGCGGGAGATTCAAGTGATTGTGCTCAGCTTGGGGGCCGCATCCGGGTGGCTGGTTTTCTTGGTTCTCAATTTTGCGACATAATTACCCATATTTGTTCGATAGACTTGTTGCAGCAATGTCACTTTAAGAAGGATAGCGTCTCTTAGACTCTGTTCATGTCGGTGCATGTTGGCGCCTGGAAGCGTTCTTTCCGCTTTCCGCTTTAACCTTTGCTGGTTTTCGCTTTGGGTTGGGGAGTTCGTTCTAGCTGTATTTCCGCAACTTTTTCCGGGGTTCTTCTCTTCACAGCAAGATGTAAGGAGATAGCAGAATCACATCCCACGGAAGATGGTTTTCTACCCCTCGGGGCATGCTGCAATGCAGGCGGCAAAGCAGAGGTCGGCAAGCGATGTGGCGATCTTAGGGCTTTTCTTGGGATGCGTTTGAGTCACCGTGTGCAATCTGGGTTCTAAATAGAACATAGTGGATGGGTGATTTCTTAGCTGCGTCCGATCCTCTTTTCTATCTAGCACTCAGCAATTCGTGAGTGGTGGTGTGGTTCACTCTGTTGGGATTTGAGTTTGCCTGGGCAATGCCAACTCCGTGCCTCCTCCAATATATATATATATATATATATGTGTGTTGGTTATGTGTGTGTGTGTGTTTTGGTTTTTAAAGGGTGGTCTTGATATGAAACAGAGTCACATCTTGTCTCCGCCCCAGATGTGGGCCGACCACTCTACATGTTTATATCCCGACAGAGCTCCCTCCAGTCTTTCATGCGCGATCTGCCTTGGCCTTCGGCCACCGTTTGCCAGGTGCAATGGCACAGGGAATGCAGTGGGTGCTAAATGCCAAAAGAAGCCAAAAGGAGATGTGTTTTTGCAACTTTGAGGTCCCCTGTTCAACATCCTTGGCTTGTCTCCAAATGGGAGGGCCAAACCGGACCCTTTCAACTAGAAGATGCCTCTTTCAAGCGCATGACATGAGCAATGGGCGATATTTTGGTTTGTGTAAGTTATTTTCGGTCTTCCTTTTGGTGGTCGCCTCTCGGTTTTATGTGGAGAGATGGTCGCGTCCGGGTTGGGGCCAACTTTGTAACAAGGTCTTGGGGGCTCAGGGAAGCCCAAAGGATGTTGTTGCTTAGGCATGTTTTGAACAAGGTGGCACCCTGGGTTCCATGGCGCTACGCTGGGAGCGTATCTTTGTGCAAAAACCGGGCTTTAATGAACCCAGAAAGACCCAACAAACTACCTGGAAGAGAACACATTTATTTGCCCGGCCGAAGCTTAGGCTGGACGCGCGCATTGCCGCCTTCTGCTCGTCAGCAGGGGGCCCGAGCGATTGCAGCCTGTCCATTGGACACCACCCATGCTTCTGCATGTTTCTTAGAAAGGGATGGACGGGGTTTCTCAAAAGGGACCAACTCCTGATGCACAAAATGGCGGCAACCACACTGATTCTCAAAAGCCACCAGAACCCAGGAGAAACGGGGTAAGTACTCTCGTGCAGTGGCTCATATGTAGTGTGGTGATTAAACTCCGAGGTCTCGGTATTGGTGGTGGTTTGGGGGTTACCAGAATAGATTCAATCCGTTTAGACCCAGGCTGTCCAGTCGGCAAATTTGGGGCTGGACTGGGAGCAGGGGGCACCTATTCCCAACAGCCTGGGACCTGTAGCTCAGTTTGCTCTGAAAACAAAAGCCCCAGGTTCACCTCGAGTTTGGGGACTCAGACGGAAACCCGGGAGGCGTGCTCGGTGCCCTTTGCCTTCACCGTGCTGGCGGCGGTGTTGCCGCAAGAGGCCCGGAAAGAGCGAGTCGCCAAGTCCCCGAAGGGGCTGTTTTGGGGTCAATTTTGCCGGGGAGACCTCAGTCCCCAAGCTTTGGTTCGCCAAATTCCACATGTTTTCCCCGAATGTGTTTGTATTTGGCGCAATTTCGCTCCTGGATTCGAGCTTTTTGAGAAGATATGTGTACCGTGCAGTGAGCAGAAAAAGCAGCATATTTCCCTAGCTTCTGGTGTGGAACCAAGCAAATCCGCACTTGTAGAGGAATCTCTTTAAGCAAAGGAGGCCCTTTTGGGGCCATGGGAAAGCTTGCTTTTTTCGAGGCCAGGCCGTAGTTGCCAGCGAGCAGCTCCCAGAAGTCCCTTCTGACCTGAAAAAATACAGAGACAAGACGGCACTGCGGATCGCACCGGGCTGCGCTGGCGAAAAGCAAGCAGAAGGCCTTGCTCGTTTGAGACCTCACCTGTTGGAACCTTGTTTAAACATATGCGCCAACTTGGGAAGACCAAACGGTTCAAGGTCTGGAGCCAGACGTGAGTTCAGGCGCCACGCCATCCCTGCAGACAACCATGTCACACGTCACCTTCAGCCTGGACCGCCAAGCACATTTCCTTCGTGGAAACCGTTTGCTGTTTGCGACCGTCTCTTTCACGCACCTTGGCATAGCGGCCCAGGAGAGTGTGTGAGTGGTCTGGGCTTAATGGAAGCATGGAAACCTGCCGCCCTGTCCAACTGCTCGAAAGTGTTTGTGTGTTTCGGCTCCGATTTCCACCCCCCAAGCCTTCCTAATTGTATGCGGGGGAGATCCACATTCAAGGGGGCATCTTTTAGTAGCTTGGTTCCCCTAAAAGTTCCCCCAAAGTTTGTGGAAAGTCATCTGTGTAGCCAGCCCGGCGGGCCTCGTGATTTCCTTCGCGGAGCCCGAGCCGGGGATTTGCGGCCAAGCGCTGGGGTTGTGCCCGGCCAGGAGGATGGAGACGGGACTAGCCCTGATCCGACGGACTGCTCGGGAGGGCGAGTGGATGAAATGACCACAACATAAGGGTCGGTGTTTTTGATGGCCGATGTTTTCTTTCGAGGGGGGGGGGGGTTGGTTTAAAAGGGAAAGCAAAAGGTCGCACATACCCATAGTTCGCCTGGGTATCTAAGAGGGCTTCTACACAGCCGCTTGTGAGACAAGGTCAGCCCACTTTTTTGGTTTCTGTTCAAGGTCAAAAGGAAAGGGACAACCTGCAACAGCCGCGGCGTGCCCGTCAAATGCACGCTGATTCTGCAAGGCCCCTTAGGAGATGCAACTTGGCTATCGAATCGGGAGCATTATCTTTGCCACACGGCCAAAACAACAATTTTGCTTTAGGCGAACTAGAATAAGCTCACCTATTCGGGGGGAAGCGAGCAAAAATCCATGAAGGCTCCTTGGGGGATTCCTTATCAACATATCTCATGAGTGTCCTTGGCTTACCTTGAAAGGGTCGCTTGACGGCCATGTTAATTACAGTGCTTTGCAGCTTCCAGGGTTGGTTCGCGCTTAATCATGTTCCAACCAGCGTTGCGCAGCTATGAGGGGTTGGCTTCGTCAAGCCTCTCCGAAGGTTGCCCCTTTGAAGGAAAAGGAAGCCATAAGGGGTGCATTCCCTCATTCCCCATCAAGAAGGCCTGGCCTTTGGTCGGCCGGGGGGGGCTTTGGAGAATTTTGAGGCATCCTCACCGCTTTAATACTGGAACTGGGGAGGGGGTGACCCCTGCGGTTTCATTTATGGTTCCATTTCCTTTGTATGGGGAATGCTAGAGAAATGGAATTGGGAGACTCCCACCTCCCCCCTTGAGGTGGTGTGCTTTTTGAGGTTCTGCAGGGACCTTCTGCCAGCTAGGACTTCCTCTACTGCACCGCCCTTCGCTTTGTTGAGGCGCAAGCTTCCGGGGATCCCCGAGAGTAGCTTCCTTTGAAAGGGCGTTTTTTCTCATCCATGCCGTATTCTACTAGTGCGGGTTCTAGCTCAACCTCGTGGCCTGGGAGCAAATCCGTGGTGCACCAAAAACGGAGAAACACCCAGGTTTGAAGGTGGACGCTCCTGGAGTAAGGTCGGACAAGGTGAGGGATTAGGTACCAGTGGGTTTCGAGGTGGTTTGAAGCCGGCGCATTCTGGTTCTCGAAGGGTTCTGGTGCTGCTGTTTGTTTGGGGGAACCATGCTAGAGCTAGTCAGACAGATAAGGCCCGAGTGTGAGTGTTTGTGTGGCGCCAGGCGTGGTGGGCTCTCGCTTTATGCTCCCATCGCCACTGTAACCCTTGAAAAGAAAGCGCCAGTTGAAATAGGACGAAATTCAGCACCAGCATTGGCACTGCTGCTGGTATTTTCTCACGTAATTTCTAAAATTAGACGAGAAGGACAACTGTGGTTCGGCAATATCAAGAAGAAACCAGAATCTGTATCAGCAGTGTAAAGCTTTTTACTTTCTTTTGAAGGGACGACCATTTTTGAATTTAAGTCTTGAACTATTTCAATTAAACCATTACTTATATCTAGTGTTTCCATCGTCATATATTTAATTAATAATAGACAACACCCATGATGCGCTGAACCCTTGCGCCAGATAAGGCTGCTCAAGACTCACCGCGACGACGTCAAGGAGCAATCTCAGAAACAGTTGGCGAACTTCGGAACAGCAAAGACGGAGGACAAATCCGAAGAACTTGCGTGGAATCCGACCTCGGCTGCGTGCAAATTCCACTGCGCAACTTCTGGGTGCCTGTGCAGATTCTCTGGGTGGGGATAGTTGCATTTCCTACGCGAACATACGTGCGCCCACATGCACGTCTTGCACACGCCAACATGACATGGAAACCTGACATGCGCTAAAGCAAAGTTGCTGTGGCAGTATTCTCCCCCGCACGATCTTTCAGCAACATCGAGCATGTGACGTTTCTGTTGGGAATGTGTAAGGGTTGCGGGAATGAACCGTGGATCCGCCAGAGAGAAACTGCAAGGGTAGGGGTGGTTGAGAAACAACAAGTTTAGGGAGGCCACAAGATTGCGGCCCACCCAAGCGCCTCACCTGTGAAGGTGTGTTTCGAAGATCTTTCTGATTTTCAGCTGTTGATTTACAACACCGCCTGACAACGAAGGAGGCTGTGTGAAGGGTTTTGGAAGGCTACAGTCCTCTTGGAACCGACCCCACTTCCATGGTCGAGCATAATCCCAGATCTTTTTTCGGTCAAGGGCCCGGCCCTGCAGGCTGGCCAGAAGCGAGCTTTGTGCCCGGGCCCTGGAGCGAGAACTTGGCTTGCCCCTTCGCAGCGAAGTCCGTTTTGGCTGGCTCAACAAATGCCTTTTCATTTATTCTTGCTAGCCAGACCTTTTGCTCGGGAGGAGCACCCCAGAAAAGGCTGGCACTTTCTAGCACATTCATGCTAGACGAATCTCCCTCCTAGAGACACAGCTTGGCGGGCTGCTGGCCTTGTTGGAAAGGGCTACGACTCCCGAGCAGTTTCGTGGTTTCGTGGGACTGGCAAGTCCAAGAAATGTTGCTGCTTTTTCTTGGATCTCGATGGGAAGTGAGGCGGGAATGGCGTGAGAAAGGCCTTGGGGTCCCATGGCAAGGCGTGGTCTCTCGGCACCCCTTTGTGGAAGCCTTCGGGAAGCTGCTGCAGTTGCTGCGCGACGGGCAGGAGGTGAGCCGGGTCTCGGGCTTGCAGCTTTCTGGCAGGCCACGTTTGCCCCAAAATATTGAGAACCTGGCGAATTCGCAGAGGGAGTCCCAAAAGCCCGTATTTAGAGGGACACCTGGCTTTGTGTTGAGCTTGCTTGTAGCCTGCGGTCCGGGCAATAACAGTTTGGCCCTTGCTGGGTGCCTGCTACGGCGTTAAAATTCGATCTTGGCTGAAGCTTGCAAGCCGAGGTGATTGATCCTTGCTCCCCTACAAGGAGGGTGAAAAGTGGGACCCTTGAGCGGATTTTTGGAGAGACCCCGCGCGAGGCCCTGGAGACCGAGGCCTGCATCCAGCCGTGGGGCAATGTAGGGCAATGGTTGCAGAAGCGGGCAATGATGATAGAGTGACAGACCAGGGCCCATTGAAGTGGGGTCTCCTACAGCAGATTTTGCAAAGGGCGGACTTGAGGGTGCCACGTCGAACCCAGCGTTTATGAGCAGTGGTCAATATTCGCCATCACCTGCAGCAAAGCAGCATGGCAGTTTTAGTTTCGCTTCATCAAACTACCATGTGGAGTGAAGTGTGAGTGTTAGGGGTACCGGTGGGTAAAATATGGCAGCATCTTTTTGTGCTGGTACGTGGTGCGCTTTTTGGTTTCGAAGGGCAACCGCGCGCGCTCCAAAACGGGAGGTGCCTGGAAAACACGTTTTCCCAATTTTCATCATGCATGATGGGCAGGACTCAATGAGGCTCAATCAAAGAGGAATGTGATTCAATTAAGCCTATCACAACTCTCATGCAATTGCGAGCCATGACGCTTTGACTTGTCAGTGCCTTACTGACTGAGTTTGTCCCCCCCGCCGCGACTTGCATGGCTCAAGCCAGTCGGAAGTTACTCGGCACGAGCCTCTCAGATGGGTTTCCACTGCCAAGCTGCTACCCGCAGAGGTTTGGTTGGGTGTGGAACCACATAGCCACGCGGCTGTTTGGGGCAATGGAAGACGTACAGACAAGCAATTTGAGCCAGAGTGTTCTCGCTTTTTATCTAGGACCCTAAAGATGGCTGAACATCCAGATGCCTGCTTAGTGGTTTGGTTCAAGTTGGGACATCTCTCTTGTCTTTTTCTCCGATTTGAAGGTTCACTGGGTATGGACCAACATCAACAACATCTTTCCATAGGCAAAGGCCAGTGCGCAGTGAGCCGCCTTTGAGGAATCTTGCCATGGCAAGCACCCAGCACTGTAGCGGCGCTCAGATGGGCAGCTGGATCGGTAGGGGAAATATGGCCCAGGTGGTTTCATTGCGGGGATCCCAAACAATTCATTTCCAACATGTCTTAAAACCCTTGGTTCCCTACTGAGCAGCAGCAAGTTATATGACCCTCCTTTTGCGCCTGTTTCATGCATTGAGGACGATGAATATGCAATATGGAACTTGGCTGGAAGACAATATCCTCCAAAAGTGCTGTTTTGTTTAAGCTACTTGGGTTGATGTTTGAACGAGAATGCAGAGGGCATGTTCGTGTTGCGGCCATGTTCGTGTTGCGGCCCCCCTGTCAACTTGTCGAACCCCTGGGGGCAATGCCTCCACATGTCCAGTAGGTCAAGAAAGGTGACCGGATGAAGCAAGCTTCCAACGAATGCGAATCGACCTCCGGCTTGTTTTGTTCGCGTCAACCTTTGAGTGTCCAATTGCGGATGGTTCATCACCCCAAAAGTGTGACTCGGGCTGCAGGGACTATGGCTGGACGGGTCGCAAATGAGCAGGAATGTGTTATCTATTTTACCACTAAACAACAGATCGCAAACGAGCAGAATGCAGGTTCCCAATCACGTTGCTTTGCGCCAACTTGAAGCAAGGCGTGGTACGCGCAATTGGGTCACATCAATCGATTTGGTCGACCGCTCGCCGCCGCTTGGCTCGAGTGCTCTTCGAGCCTGTCGCAGCCATGGCGAAGACTTTGGCGCCTGGGCGGGAAGAGCACAGGGGCCTTCCCCTGTGGGAGGGGGACCAGGGGTTGGTTCTTTTTTTCGTTAGCCGCCTTTGCGTTCTCAAAGGGTAGCCAGAAAAGGACAGCCAGCTGTTATTTTGGAGTGCCTTGTTTTTTCCAACCTGCGAGTGGAAGTGCAGGGTAATTATTGGGTGTTGGGAAGGCTTTGGGGGCAGTCTGCAGAATAATCTCCAAGTGTCCATAGCCCCCTGCCCGTGAAAGGAAGGGGTGAGCGAGAGGGCGCACAGCTTTTCTGAGTGAGGGACTTTCGGAGACCACGAGTCAGCAACAAAGTGATAGAACATTAGAACATGCATTTGCCTGTTGGTTTGGAGGGCATCGACGGGCCCCAAATTTCCCACAAAACAATAACAAATGCTGCCAAGGGTGCATATGCGTCAGGGCTCTTTCCCTTCGGAATTGAGTGGATTCAGCTGATCCCTTCAACTCGGGGCAGCTTAAAATACAGGGCTGCATGAGTACTAGCATTGTACTTCTATCATGACTTACTTTGCTCTTGACCAGCCCGTAACCATTTCGATTCCAGTAATTCAGGCCCTGACGGTGCCTCTGTCCCCGGCTGAGGTTCTGCTGCCGGCCTGCGAGACAGAGCTGCAAGCGAAGGTCCGAATTCATTTAGCGGCTTGTGGGGGGGGGGGGGAGAAATGGCTTGCCAGCAAGGGTCCTTCAAATGTTCAAAATAATTCCTCGTTCAGATGGTAGTGGTTCCCCTTGTTGCGCTGTCCCACTACGAATTATGGATTAGGAGTGGGGTCGGCTTGGGGATCCCCCCCCGTTTTGAGCAACTTCAGTTTTCATTTTGACTCAGCTGTTGGCTTGTTGGCCTGGGCGCGGCCCTGGCAGAGTCGCAAGAGAAGCAGGTATTCTAGGGGTCGCAAGATCGTCACAGAGAACCTTTGGAGTGAAATGGAAGCATTGTCAGACTTTACCAGTTTGTCCTCTTGCTCGTTGTATGCGTATATTTGCTTTCAACCAGGCGAAAAGGTTTCGCAGCTGGTCTGAAGTTTGACCTGACCAAGGGAAGAAGCAACAAGAAGTGAACGAGTCCCTTATATAATCATCTTCGCTTCGAAGAGACAAGTCCTCTTCCTATTTTAGTCCCAAGATTCTTCCATGTTAATGTCAACCCCAGATTAATCAACCTGGAGGGGGGGGGTTCCCCCACAAGATCCCGCATTTGAAGGACTCCATCTAAAATCCGCCGACGCCAGTCGAGCGTGTAGATGGCAGTCCGCAACTTGGTCTTCCTTCGGAATCTCTTATCAAAGCCGAAGGCTTTTGGGACTGCTATTTTTTGGGCATGCTGTGATAGGTGTCAAAAACTCGATATTTTTCCGGTGTTTTTGGGTCTTTCGTGCTAAACATATGCGTTTCGCCTAGGTCTCTGGGGGGGGGGGGGCTTTCCCCCGGACGCGCAGGATCTGCATCCCCATCATCATCAGGATTATCTTGTTGCCATGAATTGTCTCTCTTTTTTTGGCAGGTACTAGTCGTGTGTTGCTGTTTCAAGCGATGTTGGAATTGGCCTGTTAGGGGTTTGGGTGGGGCTAAGTGCAGTGATACTTTGAGGAACTGTTGAAGTTTGCAAAAATGAGCGTGTTTGTTTTGCAATTCCCCACCTCTACGGAGAAGTTTCTGCGAAACATCCCCTGCATTATCGTGCTTTTGGAAGTCTATTTTTATGGTATTTGAGGGGGGTTGCTAGTATCGGTTTTTGATGGTTGCTTTTGGGAAATATCGCAAAACCTTGTTTTTTGCACTTTTTTGCGGCTAGCCGGCTGCATTCCCGGCATTCCCCACATCTCTGGTATTTTCTGTGTTTGGTCAATGTTGTGTGTCTGAAAGTCTTAAAATCTTGAGCGCGAAGATTGGGTCTGTTCCTGAAAAGTTGTGTGGTTGCATCCCTTGCATTTCCTCAGCTCAGCATCTGGGACATGAAAAACAGGAAAGTGCCAAGAAGGCCTTGCTGTACTTATTAAAAAATAAGGCCTTGCTTTTATACCATTTCGGGGGGTGGTTTACCCCAGTGTTCTTCTCCAGTGTTGACTCCAGATTGATCAGCCCCAGTTTATTAATAGGGGACTGTCCACTGGCGTCGGCGGATCGCGTAGCGATTTCAATAAAGCGCCCCGCGTACCCAACAACGCCCACCAGATTGGTCGCGGGCCGCGTGCCAGGGCGCGCGCGTGGGCTGGGCCCAAGATGGGCTGAGCGCCAAAGGCGTGGAGCAGGCACAGAAGGCGCGCGAATCGATCGGCGGCCGCGAATCCATCGGTCTCGTTTTTCAACTGAAAGCTGGCCTCGGAAGGCTGTGGGCAGAAAGGGCATCTGACAGTCCCGTTGCCCCCATCAGAATGTGGAAAAAAGGGCTGGACTGGTTTGCCACACGCTGTTGCGTCTTTGCCGGACGAGTGCTTTCCATCTGCTTAGATTTGCAACTTTCGACGTTGCTGGTACATGCGTTGGGGAGGTCCCCTTAAGGTAGGGGATATTCCAAGTCCACGATCCCTGTTATGAGGATTCCTCTCACAAGGGAACCCCCGTCAACGAACGCATCTGGGGAAGAATACGTTTAATGATTCGTTTCGTCCAAAGCACGTTAGAGTAGAAGGTTGGTACTGGGCCCTAGCCTTTTCCTTACTTGGGCAAAACTTCCTGCCCCACGTGATCGGGTATTTTGGTTTTTGCGGTCTTTGCCTGCACAAGCAAGCGATGGCAGTAGAACAGACTTGAACGATTTGGAACATGGACCAAGTTTCTAAAACCAGCGCAAATTCACCGTATCTGACCTTGAGAGGGAACCCCGGCTCTTGTGAGCGTCTTTGCAAGGGCCAACCGTTTGGTTTTCAAGTCCTTTCGGCAAGGGAGTTTTTTCATCATATGGCACGTTTGAAGGTTGCCAGCGCCACACATTTTTCAACTTGTGCAGGCCAAAGACGTTGACACTGCGGCCCCAGATGGTCTGCCCTGTTTGCAGTTCACGGACCTTTTGAGTGCCTGGGCTATTCCATGTCTAATCCAGGCAGTGAGACTTTCAACCGTTTTTTGGCCTTCGTCTCCACACCGACCTCGACCCTTGTACCAGTGACATGCACAGATAGATAGATATATATATATATATGTTTATTATGCCCTTCATGCCTCAGTGGTACCCCTTTCCCTCTTTTTGTTTGGGTGCCCCCCCCCCCAAACAACAAAAAAAAAACACCAAAAACAAACACAAAAACACAGACCCCCACCCCCCCAAACCAAGAAAACAACATAGTGGGGTCTGTCAACGGTGCGATTCATTTGGCCTATGGGCTACTATGGTTCCTTTTGTGTTGATCACGTGCGTTGCAGGCCGGCAAGCTGCTGTGCCTTGGTGAGACCAAGGTCAAGAGAAGGCAAATGGGGGCATCACCCGGAGGTTTAGTTTAGGACAGGGGTAGGGCTCATGGAGCTCACCATCATTTGCCGCTAGATGGTGAGGATCTTCAAGGGGCTTCATGTCAACAAGCGCGAGGGTCAAGGGGCTGTATTATTCCACCCCCTTCTCGCTAGTTTCTGCAGGCAGCCTCCAGATGAAAACCAGCCTGGATAATTTGAGAAGTGCGCCTGTCAATGGACCCTTGAACCTTGTCAGTGCCTTATGCACAGGGTACGGGAGGGGTACCATGTTGTTTGTTGGGGTCCCCCTTTTCTTCTACTCGGTCCCTGAGTTCCTTGGACCTTATGACTTTCGAAAGACAATGTTTGCGGGAAGGTGCAATTCTGCCAGGAAGTGTGAAGCTCACTGGTTGCAACTGCACCCAACACCCCTTGCAGCCATTTTGGTGGGTGGTTCTATTACCTGGCTTTATGGTGGTTACGCTACGGCTACACCTGCCTTTACAACCATCTTGGTAGAACGAAGCATCGAACGAGTGAAAAGGGGGCTTCTCTGGACGAGCCAAGAGCCGAATCGAGGCAAGAGCCGAATCGAGGCAAGAGCCGAATCGAGCCGAGAGCCGAGTGGAGCGACTCGAGGACCGACGCCGGCTTCAAGTTTGATGCCCTTTTTACCTCGGTGCAGAAACAGGCGTCGGCTTTTCTGCGAGTGAAGCTGAGAGAGGAGGCGGTTCCGCTTTTCCGGCTTTTCTGTTACAGCTGAACCCACCGCCCAAGTTTGGCGTGGGAGTCTTCCAAAAATGACGTCTTTTGACAAGAGCTGTTTGGTTTAGTCCGCTGACCCATCCGCTTTTTCCAAAGAATGTCAAGCCGCCCCACGAAGTCCGCTCCTCCGAGTCGCTCCCCCTTCTTCGTGGCGCGGCAGCTCTGGCGCGTTTCCATGTTCTTTCTGCAGGGGGCATGCGTTTGAGGGTGCCAGGTCCGGCTCAAGGGACACCAACAGACAAACCGCACACACACGCACGCGCGCACACACATACACAAGACGGAGTCCCTTTTTCTACCTGCGAGGCGGTCTGCACGGCTTGGACTGCCTTGATGGAAGGCAACGAGGTCGCCATCCCGCACTTCGGGCGGCAGTTAGGGGAAAGCCCAAGCCAGCCCTGGAAAAGTTCTTAGGACTCCTAGACGTTTTATCGCCATTTTCGTTGGAGGGGGTTCTCTTTGGATAGGGGTTTCCCTTTGTCAAGGTGCCAACTACCAACAAAACTGTTGCCTTTTTTGGGATGGGTAACAACAAAAGACCGCATTCAGCATCACGCCACATAATTGCCCAGGCGTGTTTTTTTTGTTCGATGCCTCACCCGCCACTTTTTTGGGTGCCCTTCCCGTCACTTCTCGGTGCTTCCTCCTGAGGCAGTACCAAAGTTACCGCCTCAATGATCGTCACTGGGGCAGCCTACAGGGCTGCAGCGAGAAGGATTTGGAGGCAAAGTACAGCAAGGACATCGCAAGCAAGACTTGTGTGTATTTGCCGAAATAGGGGACCCCTTCAAAAAAAGGGTTAGATGAGGGTAATGTGGAAGGGTGTGGGGGAGAACAATCCCAGATGAAACCTGCTGACGTGCACACCGACGAGCAGAGGATATTGCACTCGTCGATGTTCAGTGCTTTTGTGTAGGTACAAGGGCGATACAGAGCGCCGATTTTGTGGCTGGATCGCCTGGAGGCAAAACAAGTTGTAGGTCCTGGACGTTTGGATCATTTTTTTCAACTGTTGGGCATAGAGAACAAGTGCAGGTACTACACGGAGGGGGTGCCTTTGCGCTTTGCTCCATTGGGGCTGGGGGTGTGGGCGAATGCTTCCAGGAGGAGCTGGGAAACTGGCGCGTGGGTGCTCCGCCCTCGGTGGCCACGTCAGACGCACAGCACCCTTGCAGAGATCCTAAGTACAGGCTGGGAACGGGCCTTTAGCAACTTGCCTCAGCTTCTCCGTTGGTGGTTTGGATTGGTTGGGGGTTGAACCCCTGGCTCTTGAGTGTAAATGGAAAGCTACTCGCAAACCTCCAAACCACCACGCCAAACCACCGAGCTGATTGCCATGCGGCGCGGACTTGACAGCAGTGCTCTCTACAGAACCCAGCTCATCAGTAGCAGAGGCATCCGGTTCTTTTATAGTATTTGCCAAGTCGGGATTTTGTGCTAGCACGTTCAAGAAGTGAGATGCCGTGGCCAAAGCATTTTTTGAACCTCTAAATGTGAGGTCTAGACGGTGCCTGCTTGCGGGGGGCTGTTGAGCACTGGTCTCTCAAACTACACTTAAGCAAATGAGACATCACCTCCAATTGACAGATTTTGAAGGTGCTGCGAATGGCAGGGTTGCTCCAAGCCTCTAGATGATCACAGCACAAGGGCTATTTGGTTTTGGTTTCCTTTCTCGGGAGCCACATGTTTGTTGTGCACCCTCTAGAGCGCCCATGATCTGATCCAGTCAGGGGGAACGTTGCCAGGGCAATCCCGGCGAGCCTCTTGCCTGGCTCGGAGTCCATGGCGCCGCTTCGCCAGTGGAGAGAGAGAGAGAGAGAGAGAGAGAGAGAGAGAGAGAGAGAGGGAGGAAGGGAGAGAGAGAGGAGAGCAAACCTGCACGGTGCACGGCTTTTTTTTTAAACCCTCCCACGTGCCCAAGGGCTTCCTTGCTCAACTGGTTTTCCCTTTTTCGAGAGTTCCCAGGCCTCATTGCACGTGGGGCAAGGCCACACCTTTTTGGACCATAGTTTTCCTATTTTGTGGCATCAAACAACACCTTTTGGCTGCCACTTTGAGGATTTTCCTCTTCTCGAGGTGAGTCTCTTGGAACCTTCAGAAGGCTTTTTTCAGGGCTCCACGCGAAGTGGATGGCGCAATTGCCTCCATTTGAGTTTCACCGTCCCCCTTCCTGACCCACAGTAAGCGCTCAGCATGCATCAGCTTGGGGACGGCTCCTGTTATCCAGAAGCCTTGGGGTGGAATTCCCCCCCTGACAAACCACCGTCAAGGGCGTTTTCTGGTATACATGGATTCCAGAGGTATGGGGGTTGTATCCGCTACTAGGGATACAATATCTCTTACGCAATTATTCGGAAGCATGTAGGCCTCTTCGCCCCATGCTAGAAAATGTGTGGCCCCAACTTTTCTGTTAGTAAGCGGAGGTTATTCAGGCAACCCTGACCTGGTGGTTTGGATTGTTGGGGCTTGAGCCGTTGGTTCTTGTGGATGGTAAACGGGAAGCCACCCCTGAAGCCACCTCAACCCCCAACCTAAGACCCCTTTCCCGGGCTGGGGTGGGACGGTGGCCTGACTCTGTGCAAGAAGGTTCTGACAACCTTTTTCTAGGTGGGAGGCCTGTTGCTTTCCCCTACCAGCAAGGGCCAGGGCCCACCGGCGGTTCAGTAAGGACAGTCGTGCAGCGCGTCCAGCCACTCTGGGACGATGCTTGGCAAGGGGTGGCTTTGCAACCGTAGGTTATGCTGGCGTTTCTGATTTTTTTTTGCCTTTGAACCTTTCAATCAATGAGCTGAGCGGCAATGTTCCAACTCTTCTTCCAAGCGGCCAGTTCAAGCAACACATCCTGCATGATGCATGCGCCAATTTCGTAGTTCCCTGGAATCACATCGGACCCCAAAGAGGGGGTTTCCCCCAAGCAGACACTCCTCTAGAAATATGTTTTGGGTTCAATGTTCTGCAGGAGTATCTTGTTTGCAAGGGGTCAGTTTTGACAAATCTGCAGGATGCCATGTCGGGACTTCTTGCAGTTATCGAAAGAACATGGGCGCTTTCAAAGCAGACAATTGGCAGTGACCTTTTGTCTGTTGGGTTGCCCCCTTTTTTTTGGCCGAACATGGGGCTTCTGATGGCCGAGGATGCCATCACGCCTTTCCTTCTCAGTAGCAAGACCCCCCTGGTGGTTGCGCACGAGGCATCCATCCGTGCCGCGCGGCTGCATATTTTGCCTGCGAGATCGAGCCTGGCCCCTCCAAACAAGAGGTTCGCCATGTGGGCCCTTTACCTCGGGGAGCCACTATGTTTCGGGTGTTTAATCGTAAAACTTTCAGAATATTTCAGCCTTTATTGCCAGATCGCCACTGCAGCAAAATGAGAAGACCCTCGCGGCTCGGCAACTTAGCCATGTTCGCTGGTAGTAGGTAGGGTACCCTCCATGGTTGCTCCCCTGTTTAGGTTGGGCCCTGGGTTTCCTCGTTCGGTTGTAACTGTGACGTTTCAAGGGCCCAAAGGTGAGTTTCCCTTTGCAGGGGCCAACATGTGGGGAAATATACCGAGCCCTTCGAGGCTTTGTGCCAGCTGCTGGAGGAGGACACGGACCAGGAGGCTAAGGGATGCTGAGCTGTTCCTAACAAAGATGACATGAGTTGGGCCCGGTCTGAAAGGGTAAGACATGGGTTCCATGCGGATGCAAAAATACTCATGATTGTCCCACGCCAGTCGGAACAGAACCTGTGGGTAGAAAGTAGGCATGGTGTCCTCTGGTTCGAATTTCCTTTGTTTTGGGGGTTCCCGTCGAACAAGGGACCTTGCACTTTTTGTCAGCCAGTCTCGCTTGCCCAAGGCGAATCTACCTTTTGACATTTATTCTTGGTCCCAGCAGGTGGAATTTTACCCTTCCTCCCACAAACGGAAGTCCCTTAAAATCAGCGGAGGGGTTTTCAAAATTACTTTTGGGGGTGGTTTCCCATCAGCCACATTGTAGAATGTTGAGGATGCACTTCAATGAGCCGAGGATGGTGCCTGAAAGTCTGCAAGATCAGTCTTCCCTGCAAAATAGCCCATGTTTTTCTGTGAGGAAGATGGGGGGGGAGCTGGTTACCCCAGCAAAGCCCCTGGTTGCAAGCCTTTCCGAATCCCTGCCCGCCCAGTGTGCCCCCACGCCAGCGGGGCGGATTCTGATGGCCCGAGAGAGAGAGAGAGAGAGAGAGAGAGAGAGAGAGAGAGAGAAAGTCGTACCAGGCGCTCGAGTACAACATCCTCCCCGGCGTGCCCGTGATTGTGGAGCTGGACGAGGACGGGCGTGCACAATGATTGGGTGTGTTTGTTTTGAGGGTACCCCTATTTTTCAAAATTGGACACCAAAAGGAAAACTGTTTGTCTTCTGGGGGGATTCGGGAACCCTCCCCCCCCCCATTTTGAACAACCCAATTGAAACCCAATGCACGAAGAGGAGGGAAGAGGGGGGAAGAGGGGGGGGGGGAGACCATTACCTTTACATCTTCCCTTTCTGGGTATGAAAAGATGGGGGGGGGGCAGTTTTTCCACATTGAGGGCGGAGTTGTTTTTTTGTTTGTTCGACTGCGCTCTTGAAGGTCTGAAGCGTGATTGCGTTCAACTTGGCCAAACCGCCGCCCCGAGAAGCAGCAGCATTTTCTCGGGCTGTTCAGAATCCAGACGCCACCCACAGGATCTTCTGGATTACGTGAAACAGTCGACACTCAGTTTTGTGCCGGATGGTAGTGGTTTCCCTTGCAGTGTCTCACTAGGGGTTACAGAAACTCGGAAACTCGCAACTCGCCCCAAGGGAATACGAGTTGTTTCCAACATTTCAATTCAGAACCTGAGTGAGGGATGTTCGAACCTGAGGGAGAGATGGTTCCGATTGGCTTGGGGCCTCTGAACTCTGCCCCCACCAAGCTGTTTGAACAACCCGGCAGAACCTGGGTGCGTCTCTCCTTTTAAACAATATATGTTTTCCCTTGGTTTCCTATTTGGAACAACCAAAACGGGGATTCCCCAAAGCGCATGAGGACCTGGACTTCCGGAAGAAGCCGCCGGGACGAAAGAGAGCTTGGGAGCTGAAAGGTGCTAAACACAGACCCAGACTCCCAGACCCAGACGAAAAGAGGGTGACCTTCCGCCGGCGCCGAATAGTTACTTCGAGCTGAGGACTCCGCTTGGTTTGAAGGCGAAGGCGAAGGCCAAGCCTAGCCAGGAGCCAAGACAAGGGGCCGAAGCGGGCCGAAGCCCGCCCAAGCTCTTAAAGAGAATCTTTGGAGCTCGAAATCAGAAATGATAACGAGCTCACCGAATCCGGGGGCAAAATCAGCTCACCTATGAAGTCCCGCATTGAAGGCTTCTTGATTCTTCCCAGTGTAGGACTTGCAGATGGCTAGAAGTCTCCTGGAACATCTGGACTAAGATGGTTTCCATTACCCTCAAAGCACTACCTCGACGGGGAAACGGGGCATACAGTGGCCAGATGGTGCAGAGCGGCTGCATATCCCATGTACCTATCGCCTGGGGGTCCATGTTCACTTACCAGGGTTCCATTTTGGTACCGGGTCCTTTGAGCCACAGCCAGATGGTGGCTGCATGTCCCATGCAACCCCTCGGGGCGGTTTGGGAGTGGACCCGCCTGTAGCACCAACCGCCAAGTGCGACTGAGGCGCCCGCGCGGCACACGACCTGAAGCCGGGGCCGAAGCCCAAGCCGCAGCCCAAGGCGCGTGGGTTGCGCCGTTGGTCGTTGGTGGTGGCCCACCGGGAAAAAAAGGAGGCCTGCGCACCTGGCCCTACGTCAAAACGAAGATTTCCAGAAAACATGAAACCTGAAGGCTCCCTTTATCTGCACAGTCCCCTTTGGTTCAAACCAGGCCCCACCCAGGCAATGAGTCCGGTTCCATGGCGATGGGACATTACCATCCGCAGGTGCTCCTCTGCTTCTTGTTTGTAGTGCAGGAAAGTAGCACAGCACAGTGGATTCCAGCTGTGCTTTTTCCTTGATCCAACACTTAACTTTTCTTCGACTAGGGAATGATGTTTCAAGTAACCCAGTGGTTCAATGGCGCCCTCTAACAGCGGACCGTTGCTAGCAGGGGTTGCCGGCAAAGGGAACAAAACCCAGGCCAGGGGTCCGCTTTTAGGAGTACATGCCCTGAGTCCATTTCGAGTTGAGCAGCGCTGAAAAATCTCCTACTACCTTGTTTTGTTGGGTGGTTGAAGTAAGGGCCCTGTAAGCCGTTGCAACCGTCTTGGTAGAACCAACTGTTTTATTGGGTTTGGGCGCTGATTTGGGGGCAACCCAACTGTCCACTTTGCAGGCGCCCCCTGCACCAAAGCCGAAAGAGGCCGGAAGCGCGAGAGAAGTCACCAGAAAGGCTTATGTCTTTCCATCGAGAAGTCCCTTTCCGCGAAGTGAACTTGCGGGGAATCAGCATGCAGTTGCTCTCGGGCGTTTCGTGGTGTCTCCCTCGCCGTTTTTGGCTGGATGTTGGCTGGGCGTGGCCGTTGATGGGTGCATTATACGTCTACTTTTGGTGGTTGACCGTGATGGTTTGTTCACAAGTTGCTCAGATTGCCGAGTCAAGAAGAAGCTTAAGACTTAAAAGCGCCAACGCACACACACACACAGACATTCCCCACACCACACGCTACACACCACACACCACACACCGCAAACACAAAACCAAAACAACAAAGACACAATTACAAGAACAACGCACACACTCCCACACACACACGTACACACACCACACACCACACACCACACACTACACACAACACACAACACACAACACACAACACACAACACACAACACAACACACAACACACACACACACATCCCACACACACACACAACAGACACACATAACACACACACACACACAAAGCACACACACACAACACACGCACACGCACACGCACACGCACACGCACACGCACACGCACACGCACACGCACACGCACACGCACACGCACACGCACACGCACACGCACACGCACACGCACACGCACACGCACACGCACACGCACACGCACACGCACACCACCACGCACACGCACACGCACACGCACAC